GGACTGGGAACTGTGTTATCCACAGGGGTCTGAAAGCTCCCCCACCTGCCACAGGTCTCTTTAGGGGATACTGTGGACACCTGACACACCATCCTTTCCCTCCCCCAGCTCCTGAAAAGGAAGATTAATCCCTCTCCGTGCTAGAAAAGGATCAGACTGAGAGGTTTATCCAAGGGCACAGGGCAGCTGGTGAGTGAATCCAGGTTTTCTGGTGCCCATGTACAACACGGGGTTGTTATTTCCCTACAAACCCACCCTGCCCTCCCCACCGCGGAGACACACAGCCCTTACTCTCGGCGTCGCCCCTGTCGGGGGACTGGGGCGGGAGTTTCCGGACGTAATCCTTGAGGAGGAGCTCGTAGCGCGGGATCCTCTGCACAGGTTCCAGCATGTGGTGCTGCAGCGTCAGGTTAGCACAGACCTTCCTCTTCTGGCCAGGGACAGCAGGCACGGAGAGAGGAACGGTGACCGAGGCAGATCCCACCCTCTGTTGTTTCCCCGCTCCCAGGAGATTTGGGGAGCTCTGCTGCGATTCCCCCACCCTGCCCTTACCTGGATGTCAGCAATGAGCTCCTGGAAGGGGGGTGATTTCTCTGACCAGGCAGTGATGAGCTCCACGGCTTTGTCGAAGTTCTTCACGTACTCCCCGTACATCTTGAGGAAGGGTGCAAGCTTCTGGATGACATCCCCAATGCGGGGGTTGCTGTTCCTGCAGGAGGGAACAGATTCCTCAGGACAGACAGACAGTGAAGAATGAACTGAAGGACCATGATGGAGGACTGAGGTTTTCCCTGCTGCAGGCTGCTACATCCCCACAGTGTTTCCTGTCCCTACCTTGCAGCCAGCCTGGGCTGCTCATACCCAGGCACACCCTCAAACCACCTGAGATGTCACCCAGGTTTCCATACTCTGATCTGAGTGTTTTAAGGAAGTGTTTTCCAGCAAAAGACACTTGGAGCAAAACAGGCTGAGCTCTGGTCCTGGTGAGAGCCCAGACTCAGTGCTGCTCCCCCATTCTGGCCCTCCTGCAGCTCACCAATCCTCCATGCGCTTCTGCAGCTCTGGCAGGAAGAACTCAGCGTGGAACTGGTAGATGGAGGAGATGTTGGAAAAGATCATTTTCACCACCTCCTCTGGGACTGTCTTCCCAGTTTTGGCTTCTTTCATCAGCTCTGTATAGAATACCTGGAAGAAAGAAGGGTGAACAAAAAGGGCCAGGGAGATGTTTGAGGATCCCATTCCCCCTCTGAGACTGGTGCATCACCCAGTGAAAGGCCTGACTGTGCACTAGGAAAATCCCAGACCCCAAGAGGAGAGTGGGATGGAAGGCTTTGCTAGGACAAGGGTGCTTCCCAGAGGTGTGGTGTGTAGAAAAGGCAAAGGCCGGACCCAATCTCAGGCTGAAAAGACCAGCAGCCCACGTGTTTCTCATTTTTACAGCTTCAATCCCTCCAAAATCCCCTTGCATTGGTCCCTCCACTCCCCAGTTCACCTGGTCAAGGAGATGGAGGCGGTTGACATAAGCCTGCTCTGTCTCCAGCAGCTCCAGTGCGATTTTCTTTTCCTCTGGCTCCTGCATGGGGAGCAGGGCTCAGTCTCGTGGGCAGAGATGTGACCCTGAGCCAGCCCTGCCTGAGCGTGGGCACCCACCAGCCTCTGGAGCTCACCTGGCTGCCAGGCTCCAGGCCTGGGCCCTGTGGCCTCCTCCAGTTGTCCTCACGGATTTTGCATCGCAGAGAACGGAGGCATTTGAAGCTGAGTCCACGTTGACCTTGCTGATCCTTCTCCTCCTCATTCTCTTCTCTGGTCAGGGAGTGCCTCTGGCTGGCAGGGAATGCTGGAAGCTGCTGGGGCTGCCTGCCTGCCTGCTTGTCCCTCTGGGCAGATGTGCTGTCCCTGCTGCAAAGGAATGTGATCAGCTCAGCCATTCCCCAGCTTAAAGCCACCAAGAGCAGCAGCTGCCCAGCAATGACACTGCTCTGCTCCACTACAGCCCTGCAGTAAAACATCCTCAGCATCCTCCACGGGGCCAGGATCCAGCCTCTCTTCCCCCAGAGCCCCCTGCTGCTGTGCCCAGTCCCTCTCCTGCTCCAGAAAAGCAGGATCCTGCTGTGTATCCCACCCAGAGCTCTGGATTTCTGCCTGCTGCCACCACAGAGAAAAGCAGGGAGAAGCCCAATAGCCAAGAGCTTTGAGCCAAGAGCAGGCCATGTGTGGGTGGTTTTACAGACAGGTTGTTTTTGGTGGTGTTCTCTCTTCCCTTTTCTGGCAAGGACAAAGAAAGCAGGTCCAGAGCAGGCATGAGGGAGAAGCCAGGCTGTGAAGGTGACAGCAAGTGACTTGTCTGTCATCCAAGAGCTGGTCACTGCAGGAAACTGCTCTGGGCAGAAACTGGAAAGACATCCACTGTAGGCCTGCAGACAGGAGTGGGATGGACAGGATGGGAAAGACATGAAGAAATTTGACACCAAACTGCAAAGTTGAGGGTAGGAAGTGACTTGAGGGGCAGACACTCATCTGAAGACGATGTCAGCTCCATCCTGCGCTCAGGATGTCTGTGAGCTCAGGAATGCATCCACAGCCATGCACAAATCCCCTCCTGTCCAGGGGGGCTGGCAGAACCCTTCAGAGACAAAGAGGATTTTCCCATCTCTCTGGTGCCTCCCAAACCTTTATCAGCCTAAAGCCACGGCTGAGTCCCAACAGGGAACTTCTCTCTTTCTACTTATGCTGACTTAGGCCAAACCATTGTCTGCTCCAGAATACTCTGCTCATTCCCAAGTTCCCCAGCTTCCTCTGAAAGTCTCAAGTTACTTTTATTTCCTCTAAATCAAACTCACACTCCAGAGCAAACAACAAACACACTGCAGCAGTGACATGGGGGCAGATCAAACACTGCAGTGGTTCCAACACAACATCCCTGTGGGATGATGGGGACAAGCACAAAGTCTGGGGAAAAGCACACACCAGAGATTCAGGAGTTCCTGGAATGAAAGGAAATCTTGTGCCTCAGCATCTTCAGGAATTGCTGCAAAATTCACCTGCCCAACCACCCAGCACCTCCAAGGCTCACTGAGAGCATCTCATGGGTACAAGGAATGGCAGGATTCTGTAGCTTGATCCATCAGATGGAGAAACTGAGGCACAGCTCTGACAACTCACCTGAAGCCTCAGAATTACTTTTACACCAGAGCCAGGGCAGATCCCCTTGCTCAGACCCCAGCACATGCTGTCTGAGGGTCCCAGCTCACACTCCAAAGGAAGGAGCTGTTTTATGAAAGGAATTCTTTCTCTCCCTTAACATAATGCTTTCTGTTTCCTTTCCTAGGAGCCGCATCTTTGCAAACAGGTGGACAGTCTGAGGCTTGGACCCTCCCAGACACTCAGGCAGTTAATTCCCAGTGACACCCCTCTGCCTACATATTTCCAAACCACAATTCCTTTCCCCAGCAGCAGCAGCAGCAGCAGCAGGATGCATCAGCAGGGCTGAGTGTGAAGATGCTGGGTGTGGGGGAATGGCCTGCCACAGCCTAACCCTGAGCCAGGCAGAACCACTCACACCCCACTGAGGTTTTCAGATTCTGCTCATGACCCACAGCAGGAGGAAGACACTGAGGCAGACCTGAGTTGTGAAGAATTGCAAATCACCTTGTCAGCTTCTCCACACGCTCCAAACCACCTCCACAGTGGGTTTCTTCCTTCCCAAACCCACTCCACATGGAGCCCTAACACACCCTCAGCACCCAGAGCCCTCCTGCCTTACCAGTGCTCTTCAAACACAGCCACCAGCTTCACCACACTCTGCTGATTTTCTGCCTTTCCCTCCATGGCACAGGCTGGGAGCAGGTCCTGAGTGTCCTGGAGCTGCAGAGGCAGGTGCTGGGGGCTGCAGCTCCTTCTTCTGTCCCCCTCTCTGCTCTGAAGTGTTTCTGGCTGCAGTTTGGGAACAAGGATTTGCACAAGGCAAAGCCCACCCGCTGCCCCCTCTGTGGTAGCAGAGCTTGTCTCTGGGTTGGCCTCAAAAGGGAAGGGAAAGAGGAAGCACAGCAGTTTGTGGGTAGGAGAAACACTGAGAAAACACTGGGAATCACTTCAGTTTGGGGGGGATCCAAGTGGTGGCACAGCCAAGGCCAGAGCAGCAGCAGGGATGGTGCAGGGCAGGCGTGAGCTGGGACACCTCCCCGCTGTGCAGCCCCGGTGGGGTGGGCTGTGTCCCACCAGGGTGGGCTGCAGGGTGGGAGTCTGGACAGCCTGGATGGTGGAGGGGCCAGGAGTGGGCTGGCAGGACCCTGGTGCCCAGCTAGGGCTGATGTGTCTGTCCCAAACTCCAACAGCTGCATGGCCGTGGGGCCAGCCAAGGACTGCTGGTAACAACAGACAAGGATTTCGGTAACAACCACCAGAGAGAACAAGAGGTGGCTGGAGAAGGGGCCACGTGGAGGCAGGGCAAGACTTTTCCAGAAAGGTCTGTAGGGGTGCGCTGTGCATGAGAACCAATTGGCATGGCAAGTGAGAAACCCATCCTAGAGCTTGTGCCCCAGGAGCCTGGGCACCCCATCAGCCAGAGCGATGCTGGAACCAGCACTGGAGATCTGCTTTGCTTTTTCCTCTTTTCCTTTCCTTGTATTTGTTGGGGTTTTTCTCTCCCTCTCCCTCTCCTCTCCCACTCCCTCTCCCTCTCCCTCTCCCTCTCCCTCTCCTCTCCTCTCCTCTCCTCTCCTCTCCTCTCCTCTCCCCTCTCTTTAACTCGTGCCCTTTTCTCTCTCCCCTTTCCCCAAACCCCTCTGCCGTGTGCCCACAAACCCGGTCAGGCACTAACACCCAACTCCACAAATCCCTAAAATCCCTAAAATCCCTCTCCGCTTTCCGCGCCCGCTCCGCCTCTCCCGCCCCTCTCCCGCCATCACCGCCCCTCACGAGGGCTCCCCCCCCTCCCCTGCAATGGTTCCTCCCGCCGCGGTTCCCCCCGCCCCGCAGCGCGGTGGTGGCGGCCGGCGCGCGGCGCGGTGACGTCACCAAGGCGGCCATGGCGGCGCTGCCCCCGGGGCCGCTGTCGCCGCCTGGCGGGGGCGCGGCGGACGCGGCGGGGCCTGAGGGCGCCGAGGGCCTGTTCGTGCTGCTGGGCGCGGGGCTCGTCGCCGCCAGCCACCCCCTGCTCTACGTCAAGCTGCTGGTGCAGGTCCGCTCGGGGGTGCGAGCGGGTGGGCGGACGGTGGGGTGGGAGTCCCGTGCGTGACGGGGGTGGCGGCTCCGGGAGAACGGGAGGATGTCCCGTTAATGCTCCCATGGAGGCCTCCGTGCGCTGGGGGTCGCTGTGTGTACAGCCCTTCCCCGTGTAACGGGGCCCCTGTGCGATGGGGGCACCTGTGGAAGTGGGGGGTCTCAGTGTGTGTGTGTAACGGGGTGGGGGCCCAGTGCGGGATCGGGACCCCGGTGTAACGGGAGGAGGTGGATTCCTGCAGTGTTCCTGTGGAAACCCCCATGTTATGTACATGTTATATGTTATATATGGACAGCCCCCCCCCTTACCCCGTTACAGTGGGACGCCCTGTGCAATGGGGGCACCTATAGAATGGGGGACCCCCATATGTAACGGGGTGTCCCTATGGAAACCCCCATGTTATAGGGTTATATATACAGTATGGACAACCCCCCACGTTACAGTGGGACCCCCTGTGCAATGGGGACACCTATAGAATGGGGGGCACCTGTAGAATGGGGGACCCCCATATCTGTGCTAGGGTTATATGTACAGTATGGACAGTCCCCCACGTTACAGTGGGACCCCCTGTGCAATGGGGACACCTATAGAAAGTGGGACCCCCATACGTAACAGGGTGGGGTCCCTGTGTGTGATGGGGGATCGGGACCCCAGTGGGGCGGGTGCAGGTGGATTCCTGGTTCGTGCCCCTATGGAGGCCTCTGTGCCCTGGGGGTCCCTGTACATGCAGCCCCCCATTAGAACGGGACCCCCTCAGCACTTCCAGAACGAGGGACATCTGAGTAATAGAGTGCCCTATACACTGGTGGACCCTATACAAAAATCAGGTTCTATATAATAGGAGGGTGAGGATGCCTTCTACAACAGGGGCACCCTATATAGGGACTAGGGGACACCATATAATGGAGGGGTGATGCCCCCCATACAGTGGGGGCTCCTTTGTAGTGGGGTGTTGGGACCCCTCCTGTGACAGGGAATGGGGACACCCAGTAACCTGGGAACCCCTATAAAATTAATCCTCTACCATGGAGTCTTCCATATAAGAAGGGATAGGAAACCCCAAGACCCTCTCAGTAACAGGGACCCCCTAAAATGGGAGAGTGGAGGACCCTCTGTAACCTAGGGACCCCATAAAATGGGGAAATGAGTGCCTGAGAGTGACAGGGGGATGCTGGGATCAATCCTGTTCATCCCAAGGACTTTGGGAACACCAGAACAGAGACCTGCTCACGAGGTTTCTCTCTCAGGTTGGGCATGAGCCACTACCTCCAACCATTGGAAGAAATGTATTGGGAAGGAAGGTCCTGTACCTGCCTGGCTTCTTCACCTATGGTGAGTGACTGTCCCTCCCTGCCAGCACGAGGTCCTGCCCTCGTGGAATCGGGGCTGGGAGCTGCCAGGCATCCTGAGCTGACCCCCAGCAGCACTCCCACATCCCCTTGGGATCATTCCGAGGCTGCAGTGAGGCATAAACCACCACAACTCCTTGTAAGGCTGTCAGATTCATGTACCTGTTGCTGGAGACAGGGGGGTGTTGGTGCTGCATCGTGTTCCTGTGACACATTGCTCTGGGTTTGCACCGTGGTGGAGGGGTTTGGGAGGTTTTAGGTGGTGTAGGCTTGTTGCAGGAGGTTTTTGTGTGTTTTGGAGGTTGCAAAATACCTTCCTTCTGCTCCAAAACAGTCCTGGAATAACCTGCCCCCTGCCCTGCTCATTTGTGTTGTAGATGGAGCTGTAAAGGGACAGAAATACCAAGAAAAGGGCAGCTAATATGTTTAGAAGGATAAAAAAAAAAGAGTGTTTTCCTGTTTTTGTGGGTGCAGCAGCAGGAGAGGTGGGTGAATACTTTGTGACCTGCTGTCACAGCAGGTTTCCCATGGGGAATGGGAATGCATTGTCCTGACAGCTGACCTGGGCCAATCCCAAAATCAGCCAGTGGTATCCATGGGGTGGAACCAGCACAGGAGCAGGATGAGAGCACTGGAAGCCCATCCTGGGACACCCAGGGCTGGAAATGCTCCAGTGCTGCCCTTTGGAAGATGCAATTTCCGAAGAGATGGGAAGTGTTGGGTGATGGGGAGGTGCAGAGCCCACCTGGCTTTGCATGGACAGCACAGGACAGGGGCCAGGAGCAGTCAGTAGCTACCAGCATGTAGTGGGTTCTATCCCACCTTATTATATGTGGGAGAAATGGGATCTCTGGGCTTTTTTTGCAACTGGAGACCTGAGCAAGTTTGCCTGGGAGAAGATGGTGGGGCAGGAACTGAACATGGGTTTGTGAGATCCATATGAACCCTGAGTCAGACCTTGTTGGGGTGGAGGGGGGAGGTGACAGCACAGAGCACATGGGATGATCCCCCCTGCCTGGTTCAGTCCAAACTGCCTTGGAGCCCTTTCAGGTGAGCAAAACCATCAAAAGACAAAATAGCCCAAAATATTGTAGCTGTCCTTCCAGATTAGGCAGATGACAGTAAGAATTCTTGTCCCCCAGTAAGAAGTTTCTTTAGGACTGTGATAATAAATCACTTACTGTGGGGCCGTGGAGTGGCTGCCGTGCCGAGCTGAGCCTGGTGTGGTTTCAGCTGAACCCTGGGGCTGTTTGGGGTGCTCTCCATGCATGGTCCCCTGCCCCACTGACAGCAGCCTGGTGTTGTCCCATCCAGCCAGGCACATCGTGGAGGTGGATGGGAAAAGAGGCCTCTTCCGTGGCCTGACTCCTCGCCTCATCTCAAGCACTTTATCAACCATCACCAGGGGGAGTGTGAAGAAGGTAAAGGTCAGCTTCTCTCTCCATTAATCACCTGCAGGGTCAGTGCTACTGCAGCAAGGGCTGCACAGGAGGACGGATGCACCATCCCTCTCCATCTCCTAAGGGAATAGTCCTCCAGTGCCCTTATCCTCAAAGCAATTTTTTTGATAGATTTATAAACCATTTTAATTTGATTTGGCATCCCTGTGCCTTGTATACTGCGTCAGCAGTTTTGTGACTCCTCTGTTCCTCTATTTTACTTTCCGTCCTTTCTTCTCCCGTGTTCCTTCTTGCCTGTTTGTCTTGTCCTTGTATCTAGAGCATGGCTTTTCATGGTTTCCCCCTGTCCTCAGACACTGTGGGTCAGCATCTCCATCAGTTCTGACTGTGTTGCTTCCCTCTCCACTCAGGCTTTTCCACTGGAAGACATGGAGCACGTGTCTAACAAGGATGATGTGAAAACTTCACTTAGGAAAGTGGTCAGAGAGGTGAGAAGTGGATATTGCCCATTAATGAGTGGCTGGGGAAATCCCTGGGGACTTGGGTGAAATTACTTGGAGAGAAACTGGAGTGAGAAGTTTATGGTGAGAAATGTGTAGATTTGTTTGTCTGTCAGTTTAGTGGCCGTTCTGTGTCCATCCATGAACTAAATCACAGGAGTAGAGATTTACCACAAGAACAGATCTCTAAAGAGGGACCCGAAATGTGTTTTCCCACACTGAGGGAAAGGACCTGGGCTGTGCAGGAGGAGCAGCACAGTTTTTCTCACAGGTGTTTTCTCCTCCCTCCCCAGACATCCCATGAGATGATGATGCAGTGTGTGTCCCGGTTTGTCTCACACCCGCTGCACGGTGAGTCCTGTCCCCTGGCTGCAGCCCCCTCCAGACTGGGCATCACCAAACCCTGCTTACTCAGGGGGATGATTCTTATGATACTTCTCTGTCATATGAGGCTGATGCTGGGCTTTGCCTTCAGCCACTAACACTGCTGAGCAACGAGTTTCTCTCTTCCCACTCATCCAGGACCTTGTCCTAGAGATTCCATTGGGGTTAGGGCCAGTATTAGCCTTTCAGAGCCTAAAGGGGCTCCAAGAGAGCTGGAGAGGGACTTTGAACCAGGTTATGGAGAGACAGGACACAGGGAATGGCTTCCAACTGCCAGGGAGCTGGGTTAGATAGGATATTGGGAAGAAATCCTTCTCTGTGAGGGTGGAGAGGCCCTGGCACAGGGTGCCCAGAGCAGCTGTGGCTGCCCCATCTCTGGAAGTGTCCAAGGCCAGGCTGGACAGGGCTTGGAACAATCTGGGACAGTGGAATGTGTTCCTGCCCATGCCAGGGGGTTTGGAAAAAGATGATCTAGCAGGTCCCTTCCAACCCAAACCTCTCTGTGATCCTCTGAAATCCTTCCCACCACTTACAGGCTCAGGAAAGGCCCCAGTCTCTAATGAGTCTTGCAGTGCCGATGACCACTGAGAGGAGCTGGAGATGCTGTGAGTTGAGGGAGAGCAGAAGGGTCATGTTTCATTTTCCTTCACATCCATTACAACCCAAACTGGATTTGTTTGTCTATCAGCCCTGTGTTTCTTTCCTCCCAGTGATCTCCATGCGCTGCATGGTCCAGTTCGTAGGCCGGGAAGTCAAATACAGGTGAGTGGCTGCAGGGTCTGGGGTCTCCCATGTGCTCCCATGCCATGGGAAATAGGTTATCCAGGAGGCTTGAGAGACTGAAAAATGAATCTGAGCTGTGCTTAGAGGGTGGGGCTTGAAGGGATGTGGGAAGACTGGGCTCTGTCCCTGATGTGCCTCTGTTCCACCTTGTGCCCGTGGGGGTTTGGGGCTGGATCACCCCTTGCTGATCACACAGTGAGTCTCCCTTTTTCCTTTGGCTATTGATGGAAAGGGAAGGCAGCAGGGATAAAGCTTTGCTGCAGCCCTGCTTAGTCTGTAAAATTTTTCCAAGCCTTTTGCAGTACCAGCTGCCTCTCTGCAGGGCAAAAGTGCCTTTGGAGTGGTGTGGAGGCATGCTAGACAGGATTGCAGCCAGCCCATGACAGCCAGCTCGAGTTCCCAAAGGCAGGACAGGATTCTTGGACTTAGAATCAGCCAAATCAAACCATATCACACAACATCTGTAGCCACTCACGAAGCCTCAGAGCTCTTGTACCTTCAGCATTGAGCAGTTGTGTGCAGGTTGGGTGTTTTCAGAGCACAGACATGACCTTCCTTCCCTCAAACCTGCCTGGTCTGAGGAGAATAAGCAGAACAAGGCTGCCTTCTGCTGGAATGATGGCTGGGGAGGCACTGCCACGGCTGGGGGCTGCAGGATACGTGTGAAGCTGCACAGGGCAAAGGTGGAACAACTGCACACTCACAGCTCTTTTCCTTTCTTGGCAGCGGTGTGTTCAGTGCCATTGGCAGGATATTTAAGGAAGAAGGGATCCTGGGATTCTTTGTGTACGTGAGTTGCTGTTTAAATACTTTCTCTCATAGCCTGAAGGCACTGATGGCTCTCTCGGCAGCTCTGCCAACCCCAGCTGGAGTCACACTGAGCTGAAACCTTGTCTGACCAAGGGAATCCCACATCACTCCCACGATTCAATCTGTGCCTTTAACAGCACTCCAGTTTGACCACTAAGTTTGTCCCAGATCTTATCTTCAATCAAACCTTCAGAGCCCAGAGGAAGCTGTATTTTTTCTTATCTTTCTTTTTCCCTAGGTGCTTCTTTGTGTTTCAGTGAAGGGCCATTTAAAGCATTTGTTTGTGCAACAGGCACCAAGATCAAGTGTAACAATAAGTTCCCTTGTTGAAATGAAAGCCAGGGCCTGGATAAGCATCATATTCCTCTGCAGAGCACCGTGGGTGCTTGTAATGAGCAGCTTTACCTGTGTGCTTGGAGTGTGGTGGTGCCTGGACCAGGAGGAGCTGAAAGGTGTTTCCAGCTGCTTACAGAGCATGGCAAATTGGTGCATCACTGAAATGGAAGTTTAGTGGACACCTTTTTGCTTGAACCCTTAATTAATGCTTCCTGCCTTTCTTTTTCACATCTTTATACAAGCAGAACCACCTGCTGTCTCTGCTCATGGTGAGGAGATAACTCACTTTATTATGTCAATAATAAAGTGGAATTTCAGTAGGGGTTTTCAGGATGCCTTGGCTCTGCAGTCACAAAATATGGACCTCTAGATGAAACCTGAATGCATCAGGAAGAGGGAAGCAATCACAGGGGGTCTCACCCTGTCCTTCCCCAAGGGGAAATGGCCAGAGATCTGCAGGGATCCCATCCCTTGAGTGTCACTGCTTCTTCCTTTGGCAGCCCACAGCTTCTCAGCTGAGCTGTGCAGCTCCAAATCTGCTCCACTAAATATAGGATCCTCTGGGATGGTCCCTGTGAGTGAGGCATGGCTGGAGCAGGCTGCTCACAGCCCTCCACCTCCCAGGGAAGTGATCTGAAAGAAGCCACCACATTCCCTTCCATCCACATAAAATAAACACTGCTGGTAGCCTAATGAAACTTAATGGTTCTCAGGAAAGGCTTTAACACAACCCAAATTGTCTCAGGAGGGTTCTGAAGTTCTACATGCTCTATAACCCTGTTAGGAAATGCCACTGCTGTGAGGGGAGCACAAACTGCATCTGAAGGACCAGACTGCTGGTTTTCTCCTCTCAGCCCTGCTGCAATCCCAGCACATCCACTGCCTAAAATCATGGCAGTGCACTTGTTTCTCATGGCCTTATAACCACCCCCAGCAATAACAGTGGCACACAGTCTCTGGGTGTGTGCCTATCTAGAGATAAAGACTTTTCAAGGATGCATTTATCTCCCTTCCCCTCACATCTGCAGCAGGCTCCTGCCAGCCCAGGAAGGTGTCAGCTCAGGGATGGCTCGTCCCAGGTCCCTTGCACTGGGGTTTCTGCTGTTGGGTCACATTACTGTAAATCATTGAGGCTTCCTCCTCTGCCTGCTGCTATTCCAGCTTTTCCTCATCTTCCAAAAATATTCCCAGTTCAGATCTTGGACATCTCAGAATTGCAGCACTCACTTTTTTATGTCAATAGTAGTAAAGCTGTGTAAAGGCAGCGCTGGAATTTCAGGAGGGGTTTTCAGGCCTGATGTCTTTGGCTTGTTGGCTTTTTTTAGTTCCTTTCTGCAGCTCTCAGACTCCTGGTTTCCAGTCATCCAGCTCAGGGCCAGCAGCTGTCATTGCTTTGGAGGGGAGGAAGGGATGGGATCCTTATTGGAAGTGGAATAAACAGTCTGATTCCCTGTCAACAGTTGGGTGAGGTTTTCCTTATGGGGCTGCCCTGGCCCAGCCCTTTGCTTCTGGACTTTATTAGGTTCTGTTGTATCAGCAGCAGTTCAGGAGCTTCAGAGTTAACTTTGAGTTAGAAAAAGGATGTTTTTTACAAAGGCTGAAAGCCAAACACAAAGCAGAACATCTCTTTGGGGCCAGAGAGCTTTGATTTCTTTGTCCTGTCTGCTGCTCTCATGTATCACATCTTTGAAGCCAGTGAATCTTCAGTTGAAGGTTTCTGCTGTGCCTGGCCCCTGAGACCTCAGCTGCATCCCCAGGGCTGCTGGGGCCTTAACAATACACAGCTTGTTTCCAAAACCAGTCCCAGTTGCTGCTCTGCTGCTGCAGCAGCCACAGCAGGAAACAAACTGGTCCCTTGGTCTGAGGAGGCAGCATCGTGTTTGGGAAGAAACAAAAAACTCTGATGAATGTGCCTGGAGGTGGCTCTTTCCAGCTCAGCAAACACTCGTGTGGCTCTTGACAGGCTCCTTTCCAGAACTGACCACATCTGCTGGTGAAACACAGGTTTGACACACACCTGGATCCTTTTGCTGTGGAACAACCCCTGCAAAAGCAGGAAACCCTGCACTGCTGCAGCAGATGCTGCAGAAGCACCAACAAACTGGAGAAACCCTCTGGAATGTTTTGTTAAAGTTTTAGTGCTATTATCTGCAAAAGCTGGCAGTGCTGGTGCTGCTGGGAGCTCTAGTGTGTCAGTGGGAGGCATTAACCAAAGAACTGTGCTCCTGGGGGCAGCAGGGACTGGGAAAAATCAGTGTTCCCTCAGTTACTCCCACTTCTCAGTGGAGCAGGTTGTGCAGGAACAACCCCTCTCATTTTGATTTCTAAAAGAAGGGAGATTCCACAAAGAGATGAACTTCTCATTCTGCATCCAAAAGAGCATCTTCAGAAATGGAAACCACTTAATCTGTGTCTCACTTGGGTTTCTCAGCAAGAGTTGGGCCAAGAAGATATTTGGGATAGAACAAGGGGAATTGAGTCATGCCCAAAAAACAGATCCCAAAAAATTTCAGCCAGAGCAGCACATGTAGTACCAAGTTTGAAGGCTGAGAGAGCTCTTCCCTGGAATCTCCCTTTTCAGTTCCTCCCAAAGTAAAAATTTCATTTTGGGGGAGTGGAGTTCCTCTGAGCTGGTAGAGGGAAGAAGGGCTGGGCATCTCAGGAGGTGGCACTGGGATCCTTCTGCACCTCACACCCCTGTTTTGCCCTTGCAGTGGGTTAGTTCCTCACATCCTGGGGGATGTCATCTTCCTCTGGTGCTGCAACCTCCTGGCTCACTTCATCAACACCTACGCTGTGGATGACAACGTGAGTGGAATGCCTGAGGGAGGGCTTGGGGTCTGGACCAAGCACCTGCAGTGGGAAGGAGTAACTGGGGAGCAGGGGCTGATTTAATACAGACCCTGGGCTTTGGGGCGTCCCTGTGAGAGTGCTGAGAGGCTGTGTCTGCTCAGGGCTGTGCTTCACCTGCACCTTGGGGGATCACAGTTCCCCAGATGCCTTCCCAGACTCTCAGCTGGAATGCAGCTGCTCTCCCTTGCTTTCTGCATTCTCCCCTGCCCCTTGCCCTTCGCCTCAGGCTCCAGGAGTGTCACGTAATGACAGTGCCAGCCTGGTGTCATCCCCTTGCTCCACAGCGCCTTTGGTTTCTCTCTGCAGTTCAGCCAGGCATCGGTGATCCGGAGCTACACCAAGTTCGTGATGGGGGTATGTAGGCAGCTGCCCTGTCCTTCCCCCTCCTCCTGCCACCTCTGGGCTGAGAGCCCATGCTCTGGGGACTAAGGCTGGTCTGTACTCGACATCCCTTATCCAAGGATAACTCTGCTAACATGCAAAAGCTGGAAATAGCGTTTTTGGCATGGGGAGCATTAGAGAGGCTGCTGGTTTTCTGTGCTTTCAGATCGCTGTGAGCATGCTGACCTACCCGTTTCTTCTCGTGGGAGATCTCATGGCAGTGAACAACTGTGGGTATGTCCTTCACACTGAGATCTAAAGCTTTCCCTTCCTTTCTTGCAGCCCCTTGTTGTCTGAATGGGCTGCTAACGAGCGTAAAGCTTTTCTACAGCCCCGTAAACTCTGTGGCACCTCGAAGAGCTGGCTCGTTTCCTGTCCCGGGTTGCTTATAATTTTAGATCAGAGGGCACAGACACGAGCAGCAGAAATGCTCAGGTGGTGAGAAATCGGGAGAGTTGTGGTAGTGTGGTCCGATCTGAGCTGAGCTGGAGGCACAGGGGTCAAAGGGACAGTGCTGGCTCCAGGGAGCAGCACGAGGGAAGCAGAGCTCTTACTGCAGCGATGGGAGCAGACAGGAGCAGGACCAAGCTTGCCTTCCCAATTGCACTGCTGCAAATCTTCTGCATTTTTGCTCATGAGAGCGGGATCCAAGTTTGGTGGCGTTCTTTCTCAGTATCTGCTGCTTTTGCAGGTGTAGATACGGTCCTGGACTCTCAAAGTCTCCAGGTAATGCTCCTTGTTTGTGCACTCCAGGGGTAATTAAATTACAGATCTGCTGCATTGTAAATAACGAGCTGTCACTTGGCCGCCAGCCCGGTGCAGACACTGTCCCCGTGTCCTCATTCACACTTCCTGCTGCTCTTTTGTTACCTGTGTGGCTGAGGTGACACATCCACCTCAGCTGTTCCCTGTTGCCGTGCAGGTTGCGTGCAGGCCTCCCTCCCTACGCTCCCGCCTTTGCATCCTGGATCCACTGCTGGAGGTACCTCAGTGCTCAGGTGAGGGAGCAGGGCACACACGGGGCTTTGGGCTCCCTCTGCTCCTTTCCCAAATCTCCAGCATTCCCCAAAAGTGCCTGTGCTGCATCCTTGCCTTGCTCTGTAGCCTGATCCTATCCCTCCAGTCCTGGCACTGGCACCAGCGTGGCAGTGCTGCTCTGCCCATTGCACACCCTGAGCTGGCAGCCTGTGAGCTTTTATACCGTGCACTGCACACAGCAGAGTCTGCTCCCCTCTGCATCTGTCACCCCGGGGGGAAATGCTCAGCTCCAGCACCCACGGGGCTGGAACCTCACCTTGTCCTGCAGAGCAGCCCAGGGTGCCCAGGCCTTGCAGCCCTGCCTTGGCCATGGAGTCGGGCCCTGCTCAGACAGCTGCAGCTCCCTGGGCAGGTCTCAGGCTGCCCTGACCCCGGGCTCTCCTCCTCAGGGGCAGCTGTTCCGTGGCTCCAGCCTGCTGTTCCGCAGGGCGCCCATCCCAGCCGCCTCCTTCCCCATCGACTGAGCCTCGGCAGGGACAGCTCATCAGCGTGGACTCCTCAAGAAACCCCAAGCTTGTTTCGATATCTGTATATTTCTCTTTTCTGATCCAAAGTCCATGGTGCCACAACTGACACCTCCTCTTCAGCAAGGCCAGGAACAGACTTCTGGACATCTGGCTCATGCTCCAGCTAGACCAAAGCTCCATCCTCATGGCTGTCTCGACTGGATGTATAGCAGAGAGAGCAGAAAGCCGTTGTCTCTTTGGTCCAGGCTGTAGCTCTGGAGTTGCTGGGGAAGTCCAGGAATCCAGAAAATGCCCAGGTACTAAAGGAGCCAGCCATGAGCTGCAGGGACAAAAGACTGCTTTGTTCTGCCTGAGCTGAAAAGCAGCAGGAGATCCAAGGTCACCTCCCTGGGAAGGTTATGCCAGGTGACAGCCTCCTACCTCAGCCTTTCTGGAGAGAGCTCCTTTGCCTGGCAGGTAGCTCATCCTGGGCAAGGTCAACCTGGCATCCATGTTTAAAGTTTGAGGGTGCCTGAACACCCAGGAGCCTCCCACCTCCCATGGGCAGGAAAAGGAAATTATAGGATCAAAACAGGGAAGGGAAACTGAGTCCTTCTGCAAAGAACAGAAGAGTCCCAAAGAGACGGGTTCCAGCCCAGCTCAGGGCAGCGGTGGGATGTGGACATGGGGAGAGCCCTTGGGAAGGGACATGTGCTGCCAGTGGTGCTGCTTTGGGCAGGATTTCAGTCATGGAATGGGCTGTGTTTAGGATACACCCAGCAGAGCTGTGGGCTGGGCAGGCAGCCTGCACACTCTGGGAGAGGCAGGTGCTGGGTTGGACTGGCCTGGCTGCACCAAGGGGCATCTCCCAGCCAGCAGCACCACGAGCCCTGCTGGGCTCCTGCTCCTGTCACTGATGGAAACGGAGCTGCTGGGATCTGAGAGCTGCACACAAAGGCCTCTCCTGCATCTGGAGCAGCCTGCAGCCTCTCCAGGGCTGTCTGCACTGAAGGGATCCACCTTGAGCTGACCAAAGGCTGGTGAGGCATCAGGGTTGAAGGCTTCTGGTGCTCAGTGGAGCATGGCTGGCTCTATGTGTAGCAGAGCTCACCAGTGGCACCAGGGCAGGATTGATGCTCAGCTCCCCAAATAAGAATTTCTTTGCACCAGTCTGTGCTGTGATGGCAGCCAGGCAGATTCCCCCTGTTTCAGTTCCCCACAAAGCAGTCTTTTGCACAGAGGTGATGCTGCACTCCCTGGGAAGAGGTTTAGCATTTCTTGAGCAGGTTCCCATGTGCTGCAGCAGCAGCAGCAGCTGGGGTTACATCTCATCCTGGTCCCTGGGGACCTGCCATCACAGGGGGTTTTTTCTCCAGCAGGAAGGGTCGATGCACACCCCCAGGCAGGGCTTGCAGGGCAGTGGTGGGGCGTGCTGGGACTGGCAGCCCCCACCCAGCTCCCTTCAGTGTCGTGAAGTTGGTCCTGTCTGTCCTCCCTCAATCCCAGTTTGTGTTACAGTTAAATAATGCATGGACCTGTTCCCTAACACCAGAGATTATTTCAAAGAGGATTTAATTATGCTCCAAAATACAGTTATAAAACAACTATTGGGTGGTTTGGTTTTTTGGGAGTTTTTTGTGATTATTTTTTTCCCCTGCATAATGTGCTCCCTCAGGGAAGGTTTCAGTTTAAGACAGGCACTTCCTTTGGTCCTTTCTCCAAATCAGGGGCTAAACCAGCTGTTTAAAACTCAGATTCCCTCTGATTTTCCTAACCTCCATGGAAGGTGGGCATATTTAGGCTGAGCAAACTGCAGTGGGTGCACCTGGAGTGAGGCAGCAGAGGGCTTGGGTGCTTGAAATAATATATGTGGAATTAGGTTTTTGGAGTTAAAAGTGACCCTGACATCTTCTGGAAGGGGTGATGGAGACCCTTTGCTGCTCTCAGACTGGTGAGGTGGGCTCAGCCATTCCATCTTCCCCCTTACAGCTCCATCCTTCCCCACTGGCCTTTAATCAACTTGTTTTATGACCTGCTCCAACACAGGGCATTGCACCTGCCAGGTCACACAGCACCTGCTCAGGAACAAGTACCTTTGCCCTCCAAATTAAAGCCATCTTCTGCTGCTCCATTGCCTGTCAAACTTCCTGCAGCCTCTGCACAGCCTGCCTGCAGCCACTGCAGGGAAAAGTGCTATTTCCTGTCCTTTCAGGAATTTACCTAAGGAATTTACCTAAGGGATTTACCTAAAGCTGCACCAGTGTATGCATCCTGCCAGTAATTTCTGCCCAGTTCATCAGGGCCCACAAACTTGGCTGAAAACCCAACAGTTGACTGTAATTTTTGCTCAATTTAAATGAAAACCAGGTTTCAAAGCTTTCAGTGCGCTGCCTTACTTTGAAGCAAGGGGCTGCCATTCTTAGGATGATTGAATATTTTCTCACCTCCTGATTCTTCTTGTCCCATTCTTCTTTTGAGGGGCCCCACCACAAGGACAAATCTCTGCACCAGGAGCAGGCAAGGAGACAACCCAAACCCTGCCTGGGCATCCCTCTGCCTTCAATTGCTACCCATTAGTCTGTGCCTGACCCTGCAGCTGGTGCTCAGGTATCCCAGCTGAAAGAGATGGGGCCCCATTCCCACGGGAGAGGGGATCCAGGGTGGAACATGTGGTTGGGAGAATAAATGAAGGGGTGGAGGAGGAGGTTTGGGTCCGGCGCCCGGGATGGAGTCAGGGGTTTCTCCCTCTGGCACTCCCCTGGCTGCCCAGGAAACAAACTCTGGTTTAAATATTGACTCTCCTGCACAAAGGCAGGCTGGGTGGGGATCGCTGCTGTTCCGTGCCCGTGCCGTTTATCAGCCTCCAGTGGAGAGCTGAGATTGCCGGGACTTTGGCCTCATCTGCTCCCAGCTGCCCGGGGGAGAAGGGAGGCAGCGACAGCAGCCAGGAGAGGGAATCTCAGGTCAAGGCTGGTCTGTCTCCGCTGGGCATGGATGCTCGAGTCTGGCAGGATCTGGAAAGCAGCAAGATGAGCCTTTGTGCCCAAGGAAGTGCAGCTGAGCTCAGAGCCAATGCTCCATCCTCTCCTTTCCCCTGCAGAGCCATCCTGCTGAAGCCCCTCCTGGCCATGCCACTCTCCTGCCATGGAGCTGGGAGGGAAGCATCCCAGAGAGCTCTCCCGATGCCCGGATGGTGCCTGGCGTCTCCCTGGTGTCTGGTCAGTGGGAAGGCCAGGGGCTGCCAGCCCTCCCCCGCAGCCATGGAGGGCCCCATCTTGCAGCCACGCATGAGGAAGTGCCCTGTGGCACAGCTGCCCTCGATAAGGCTGTTTGCTCTGTTCTCCTGCAGCGCTGAGCTCCACGTAGGCAAATAATTCCTTAAAAAAAAAAAAAAAAGAAAAAAATAATAACCCTCACAGAGGAGATTCTGCTGCCGGGGTGGTGGGGCTGGCTGGTGCCAGGAAATGCTCAGGGTGGGGACTTGGACTGGACCCAGGCAGCAGCAGTGCGGTGGCTCTGGACCTGTCCCTGTCTTCACACAGCCCCATCCCCTGGGATGACCTCCACTTGAAATGCAGGATCCAGAGCTCATGGATTCCCACCTGGATAAGGGAAATCCCATCTGGAAACAAGAAGAGGCCACAAAGAGCACAGGAGCAAAGCTGGGCACAGCGGTCTGACCTGCCACGCTGACAGTGACACGGCTGGTAAGAGGATGGGAAGGATGTGGGGAAGCTGCTTTCCATGCTCCTGCTTGCCTGCTGTAGGCCTTTTTGGGTAAACTTCCTCCAATCCCCCTAATCTAAGATGCTGTGTTCCCTCCTGGGCAGCGCTGGTGGTATTTCATCCCACCCTGAGGGGATCTGGGTCTTTTGGGGAAGAGGTGGCAGCACAAGGTCAGCACAAGGTCAGACTCCTTTCCCTGCAGCCACCGTGACCCCCGCACAACTGCCTCAGCACTTACACCGTGCTGGACCCCCCATCCCAGGGCAGAAACAGGAGGGGCAAAGTCTCCCCAGCTTCAAACCGAGCCCCTCTCCCCCTGCTGTGACCCCAGGCCGGGCTGGCGTGGCGAGGGTCGGCATCGCTGCGGCCGCGGCCCTGCTCGAGGCGCTGACCCTCGCTGCAGACGTGTGAATGCTGCCATGCCTCGGAACGGAGCTGCTCCCTGAAACGCCGCCTGCGCTCTGCGGCCGGGCGGCTCTTGTCAGGCTGCCAGAGGAGGCCGGAGCAGCGTCACTTGCAGCAAAGTTTTACAAGGCGAGCGAGCGTCTGGGGAGAGGGACGGGAGAGGGACCGACGCCGCACGCACACACTCGGACGCGCACGCGGAGAAACCTCCAGGCTCCCTCCAGCTCTCATCCCAACGCTGATTTTTTTTTTCTTTCCTCCTTTTTTTCTTTTGTTTTTGGAAGAACAAAGACTTTGGGGTGGGTTGGCGCTGTTGTTTTTCCGGGGTTGCTGTTGGTGGACGGGGGGAGGTTGGAGGTGGAGGGGGGAACCGGTGGCTTGAATGCAAGAAAGTCCCAAATTTCCCTGGCCGAGTTGCCGAGATAGTCTGTGCGAAACTTAGGGGAGGAAAGACGGGGGAGGGGGGGGAAATAATTAAAAAATAAAATATGATGACGTCACTCGGAGCAGGGGTGCCTTCCCTGCTGCCTGTCAGATGCGCCTGAAAAGAACAGGGCAATAAAACAACAGCCGCCTCTGTCTCCCTCGTTAAACACGGCACTAATTGGATGTTAATTTTTCCTTGCTCTTCTCGCTGCTCGATTGTGAGAGCTCTGCCTGGCTCTCCCTCTCCTGCTTCCTTTCTTTCCTGTTGCAATGCTCTTGGCAGCTCTGAGGGACTCCGGACTGTGCGCTCTCCTCCCGCTCGTGGACTGGAATAATTCAGGAGCTGGGAGAATTAAAAAAGACGAGGCGCGGGGGCGAATGGTTCAGAAACGGGGCGGGCGTGATGGATTTCGAGAGCTACGCTAATCTCCCCGTTTCCCGTGCATTGTCCTGCCGACTTGGAGCTATTCTTTTCCCATTTGATTTCTCTTCCCCTCCTTTCCCTTCGCGTTGGGTTTGGACTGCAGGGCAAAAATATATGTTTCAAAAAAAAAAAGGCATTAAAAAAAAGGGAAAAAGGCAGGAAAAAATAGAAAAAAAGGCTTAAAAAAAGGGAAAAAAAGAAGAAAAAAGCCAAAAAAAAAAAAAAAAGAGGAAAAGAAAAAAAGCCTGGTTCAATGACGACAAACCCCCAAACCTCCTCCCAGCTCCCCCCGTCTCGCCGCGCTGCCTAACCCCTGCGTGGAAACAGGCGTTTTAGGGAGCCGGAGCAGGAAGTTGTTGTTCTCTGTCTTGCCCAGGTCATCCTTCCAGGGTATGTGTGCAAGGGCGGTGGGCACGAGGGCTCGGTGGGCACCCAGCAGCCGTCGGCTGCCCCCCGTGCTACCCCCGGCCAACGAGGCGGGTGAGCAGCGCAGGGGGAACGGGGGCCGGGTGGTGTTTTGGGGGACGCAAGAGGGGCCCAAGGGACAGGATGGGTGGGGGAGCGGAGGGGAGGGAGCAGGAGGCGGAGGTGGGGGGAGAGAGCGAGAGCCGGGGAGTAAAGTCCTACCTGGGATCGGTGCCAACTTCCTGCAAAGGGTTACAGACCCGCGGCTTTGAGAGCCCACCAGAGGCGAGTGCGCTCTTGTCACGGTTCCAAGGCGAGATGAAGGCAGCGGGAACAGGTACAGCAGATGCCGAGTGGCCTCGTTTGCCCGCCGAGCGGGGCTTCGGCTCGATTTAAGCCTCGCCGACGAGGAGCCTTCGGTGCTCCCGCCGGTGGGGGCCTCGCCATCCCTGCACGAGGCCACTGGGGCTGTCGGGTGCCAAGGGTGGGGTGGGTGGCTCGGTGGCAGGGGGGGTGTGTGTGCATGGCACGGGGGGGCCTCTGCCGCTCGCTCGCCTTCTTGCCGTTTGGATTAACATGCGGAAGATGCGCCTGTCACTTTGCTTACTGTCAGCGCCGGCTCGGGGATGGGTGACGGCTTTGTTCGGCGCAGCCGGGGGAGCCGTGCCAACTCGGACTTGGCAGGCGAAGCCGGGTGGGCAGGGAGAGTGGGACGAGGGAGCGGGAACGGCTGCTGGGGCGGCTGCGGAGGGACGTGGCCGCAGGCCCGCGTCTGAGCACGGCGGCTTTCTGTTGGCGTGCGCCTCCCTCTCCCTCCCTCTCTCCCGCGCTCGCCTGCGCCCAGGCTGGTGCAGACAAAATGAAAACGTGTTTTGTTTTGGTTTTTTGGCATCTCCCCAGCAGTGCTACCAACCCCAGCTGCCCCCCCTCTGCTCCCTTCCCCTACCCGCTGTGACTCCCTTTTACAATCGGCACGACCCAGGTGCTCGGGCAGCAACAAAATAAGGCCAAAAATACCCCCTGGCACCCAAACCACCCCCAATCTGCCACCCTGGGCAGCAACTGCTCCCAACCGCTCTCCATGGCGGGTGGGTTGTTGTTTGTATGTGTGTATATATATATTTTGCCCTCTTTTTTTTCTGCCCCCATCGAGTCCCTCTCGCGTTGGGTGTATGTGTTCCTATTCAAGGACCCGCCACCTCCTGTCGTGCTAAAACCAGGAAGGAGGGAGCCAAGGGCTCATTTCTGCTTGGACTCCGGGGCGGCGTGCGAGGGAGACAACGATGGAGGACAAGAGGAGGGAGGAGAGGGATGGGAAGGCGGGAAAAGGAGCATGGGGAGGGCAGAAAAAAATAATCCACCTCCCCAGGCCTTTTGTTTAACCTGCATCGATGCAAAGAGGGGTCTTGGGGGTTTTTTCCCTCCCCTTGTCCTTTTTTTTCACCATGTGCTTGAGCCTCATGGGGCATTTTTGAGCCTGATGGGGCAACTTTCCGGAGCGGGTGGTGTCGGAGGTTGATTTTTTGGGAGGTGCGGGCTCGTCCCACAGGCGCGCGGCTCCCAGTGCAGGAATTCCTGCCAGCTTGCCTTTGTGCCAGCCTCCGTTGGCCTTGGGTGTCTCGTTCGGATGGAGCCTGGCATCCAGGCACCGCCCATTTCTTGGCATTGAGCTGCGAGGAGAAGGAAAGGGGAGAGAGCGAGCGAGAGAAGGGAAAAAAAAAAGCTGTCTCACTCAAACTGGCCTTTCTCGGAAAAGGATCCTTCCCTGATGATTGTCCGGATAAGCGGAGCTAAATCCAGCCACTACTCAACAACAAAACTACTCTCTTCCACGGTGCGTCTCTCTTGCTGCCTTGGTACGAAATCGAACCTCACTCTTAATTTTGGTTGTTTTTTTTTTTTTTTGTCCGTGCGGTTGGGGTTTTTTTGCCTTTGATTTGCAATAATGTTTTGTTCCTCCAGTTGCTCCGTTGCTTTGTTGTTGCTGTAACCTGCCTTCTCCCTGAAATCCCTTCCCGCCGAGTCCTCTGGCCCTTGGTGCTAAAACACCCGACTTTAATCGGTCTCCTAGAGAGGGATGTATAGCAGATAGGCAGGTCCCTACGTGCAGCATCCGGAGCAGAACTGGAGGGTGATTTCTCTCCCTGCCCTCGCCCCACCACCCGGGACGTCCCCAGGAGCCGCCCGGAGCTGGGTGTTGTCGCCCGGGTGCCTCTTTAGTTCCCCACCGGGCACCACCGACGGGGGAGAATGTGTCGAATCATGTCGGATTTGCAATTCAACATGGCAGCCGGAGCAAACGTGGTGGGAGACGCTGGGCACGGGCACTCCCGGCAGCGCCAGCGCGGGGTGGGGGCACGGCAAGAGCGGATGCGCGGACAGGGAGGACGAGAGGACAGCGGGGAGGACACCAGGGTGAGGTCAGAGCAGGAAGATAATTTTATTTCATTTCATTTGAAGGGTGTGAGTTCCACCAGGAGCGGTCTGGGAAGGAGGGAACTCAAGCCGCCTGGTTTTGTCAGCATTAACTGTTTAGAAGCTGGCTGGTTCCCCACGCTGGCACGGCATGCCCGGGCGGGCGCAGGGCTGGGAGATGCCCGGCAGCGGGGCGGGACAGGGCACTCCAGAGGCGGCTTTTCCTGGAGCCACGGCGGCCTCGGGGCCGGGCTGGCTGCTCCTGGAGGAAGCCCAGTGAAGGCTCGGGATGTTCCTGGGCCGTGCGGCTCCTCCGGCCTCGTGCAGGTTCGCGCCTCGCACCGGGGCGAGGTTTGGCACGACCGAGGCTCCGCAGGGTGGCCCAGCCCTGCCCGAGCCCAGGGCTTGCCCCAGCGTGGGGGAATATGCCCTCTTTCTGTCAAACTTAATTTAGGCCTGGCTGGGACACAACAAAAGCAGCTTGTTTGCAGGGCAGGGTCCTCCTTCCCGGCACTCCGCAGGCGCTCGGAGCCATGAAAGCCACCCCTCCTCCTTCAACAAATTTTTCCTCCTCTTCCCTGCTGCCCAGCCTCCTCGCTCCTCCTCCTTTCACTGAAAAAAAACCCCCCTTTTTCAGTGAGCGACGCATGGCCCTACAGTAAAACCTTCAAACTGGCCACAAAGCACCCAAATGCTGCGGCCCTTCTCTGCCTCTGTGACCCAGCAGCCTGCACTGGTTGTATCAGCCTTGCTCTGGGGACATTCCCAAAACTGCCTTGCTCACCAGGATGGTGACAGCCTCCCAGAGATGGTGTCCTGGGCATTTCACACCTTCCTGACCCCACAGGGAGCTCTGTGGCCTCGGGCACCCTGGTTTGGTGGCTGGGACACTGGGGTCCAGTCCTGAACCTTGCTTGTGCTGTTCCCACAACACCCCATGGCTGCTTTGCCAGCTGAAATTCCCACATTGTGGGAGCTGGGAGCAGTCAGGCACTTGTGGGGTCTGACCCTCAAAATGTGCCAGGATGGTCTCTTCAGCAGAGTGCGTGGACACAGTGGGTTCCATCCAGACCCTTAATTCCAGTGAAGAGGCAGCACAAGTGTTTTACTCATCATTCCAGTTTTCCCTTGCAGATTATTTATACAAAGAGGGGCTGGGGTGAAACCAGACCTTTCCCAATTTTCTCCCAATCCCTATTTGCTTTCCTGTGAAAATCTGGTGGAGAAAAAATACTAAAAAACCCCAAAACCCACTGAAGCTGCTGCAAGCAGCCTGAGAGGAAAAAAAGTCTGAACTCAAGCAAGGCTCTTCTGACGTGTCCTAAGCAAAACATCTGGCACCCCTGGAAGAGCCATCCAGCCAAGGGACACAGCTGTTTTATTCCACAGCTCACAGCAAAACAGGGCTTGTGCTTCCAGAACATGGCTCAGCAGAAAGGGTGAATTCTTGGAAGGGGGAGTCAGATCTTTCTGCTGTTTATTGCCTCTGAATCCCCAGTTTGCTCTCAGGCTGCTCTGGTGTGAGCTCTGCTCCATCTCCTGGCAGGAGACCAGGAGCTTTGCTCTGAAGCTGGAGCCTTGTTCAGCTGCTGTAACCCCCAGCAGGCAGCAGAGCCACTCTGGATTTGCACAGCCATTCCTCACAGCAGGATCAGACCCCCAGGTTTTTCGAGGGTGGCTCTGGGTAATTTCCTTTCCTTAAAAGGACCAAGTTCGGCCAAGGCAGAGTTTGAATTGTGATTTCCTTTTTTCTTTTTCCTCTTTTTTTTTTTTTTTTTTTTTTTTTTTTTTTTTTTTTTAATCCCCTACAACTCACAGCAAAATTTATGCTGGTGAGAACTGCCTGATTTACAGCTGCAGAAAATGCTGAGCTCAGTGTCTCCACAGGCCAGACCTGAGGGGGAAAGGTTCCCCCATGCTGGACCATCCATGTAAGCAGCTTCACCACTCCAGGAACCACTTCTGGTGGGGAAAGAAGGGGTAAAAGGCAATGAGATTAATTTGACTCCTGTGGGCTCCACCCTCAGCCTTTCCACTAATTGTTCCAAGGGATTTGGGGGTACAAGTTTCATGAGATCCTTGTAGGAGCCATCCAAGGAGAGCTGACACTGGCAGGCTCCATGGGGAGCACAGTGTCCAAGCACAGCCAGATCAGATTCACCCTCTGTACCACCCCACAGCTGGGCCTCAGAAGAATCAATACCATTTCTTTTTTCCCTGCAGTGTTTTTCTCTCTCTGCCACCTCTCTCAGCTCCTGATTTCTCTCTAGATTTTTTCCGTGGTACTGTTTTTTTGTGTTGGGTTGCTCATAGCTACTGTTTAACTTTGGGGATAATTGGTTGCTGTGAAAGGTGAGGTCTGGGAGGACGCAGGAGGTGACCAGTTTGTTATTGTAGGGCTGCTCATGGGCACTGAGCTGTGCTGTCTGTCTCTGCAGCTGCAAAGCCCATGAGACACGCAGGGTTTGGCATGCTGAGGCTGCTCTCCAGGTAGTCCTGGCCACAGAAATATAAGAGAAGTAGCCCAGCAAAGGACACAACCAACACGCTGCGTGAGGCAAGGTCTGTGCAGAGTTGCTGAGGTGATGGCAGCCAAATATCACCCTGTTCTGGGAGCTCTCTGGGGGTGGCTTCACGTGAACCTCTCCTGCTCATTCCCACACCAGGGCTCTTCTCCTCTGTGGTTGCTGCCAGCATCACCATCCTGCTGGGCTTGGGAGGCCTTGCCCAAGGGAGGTGGCCGTGCATCCCTGGCTCCTGCAGGACTGGGCAGGAGGTTTCTCCTCATCTGCAAGATCACAAGAAATATTGTGCTTCCTCCTCCTCCTCCTTTCTCCTTTCTCCTCTTCCTCTTCCCCCCAGCTTGAGGGCTCAGCAGGGCAGCCACAGCCACCTTTAGCTCAATCTTCGGTCCGGTTTGGACTCATGGGATGATCCATGCTGATGTTTTATTGCCAGATGTGGAGACCTAAAGCAGCTTTGCAAAGCGTGGTAGCTTCTGGGGGTAACACCAAGAGTTCAGGTTCTCCCATCCTTCAGTCTGGGTTTGCTCAGCGCTGGGCATCAGCTCTGATAAGGAAAAGGGAGGTTGTGGGGCAGCACGTGGCATCCTGGCACGTGAGGCAGAGTGAATCTGGATGGGGAGCAGGCAGCAGGGTGGCAGCAGGCACAAGGTGGAAGCAGCACAAACACAGGAGCAGCCTAATTTGCTTCATCAATTTTGACAATAGAAACTTGAGTTCAGGCTGGTAGTGGAGGCACCCTGGGCATGCAAGGAGAGAAGGTCCCAGAATCCCAATTCAGAGCAACAAGCTGGGTTATAGAGTTTTCCGAGCAGGAAACTCCTCAAAGAGACTCCACCAAAAGTCAGGGCAGCTGCTGATGCCAGTGTGATCGACAGCTTTAGTGTCTGCACATCTGCTCCCAGAACTCCAGTTTGTGGGAGGAGGATTGGGCTAAGACCTTTGGAGCTGAGCAGCCCCACAGGGAGGATGCCTGGGACCATCCCTCCAGCTGCTGTGTGTTGGGAGCACACTGCTGCCTGTAAGGGAGCTGGGATGAATGCAGAGGGACATGGATAAAAGGAGGGCTTTGCTCCTTCCTCCAAGGTGGCACTGCAGAAAATCCAAGTGGGTGATGAAACCCAACCACTTGGCATGTTTCAGTGTCCCAGATATAATACAGATGAGATTTCCAACATCACACCTCCCAATACAGTCTGGCCGGTCATCCTACAGCTTGGTGGGGAATTGCTTCTGCTGTTTTCAATCCACACAACTTTCTTCTCTTCCTGTCCCCAACAGCCACGTGCTGTGAACACACAGCAAACTCCACCCTAAGGGCGGCTGCATCTCAGCAGAGATGAGGAGACACACAGTGAATGATTATCAAACCCAACAGCCTTTGCTGTTGACCATGCTAACCCTGAAATCTTCCTGGCTCTTCAGAGAGGCGGCAGCAAAAGAAGAGCCTGGCAACCAACTCACAGAGTAGGGAGAGCTGAGCTGATGGAGCCTGAGGCAGCCAGGACCTGCCCCTGAGCTGGGGCTGGATCCAGCCTTGCCTGAGCACGGCAGGAGTTCCCATCTGGATCTCAGCTTTGCAGCCCGGGCCCTCCCTGCCCAGGGGATTAGTGGAGCTGCGGTTCCCAGGGCGGGGAGAGGCTAATGAACAGAGGCAGGATAACGAAGCAGGTATGGGCTTCCTGTACTTACGGGCTCAGGAGGAAATCCTGCAGCTGGTGAATCTGGATACGATTAGTGTCCATTTCTCCCTGTGTAATCAACCCATCTGTTCATCCTTGCGCATCCGCCGTGCACGCCCCGCTGCAGGCAGATGCCTCTTGGGCACTGTTTTCATCCCCATCGGATGAGAGAGAACAAGACTGCCCTGAGCCCTGGCAGCGCCTGCTCCGCTCCCCGCCGGGCTCAGAGCCGGGCTGGGCTGGGCAGCCCTGGGGGAGCTGCAGCCAACACGGCCACGATCCCAAACAGCAGGACCCAGCCCTTTTTTCCCTCCTTTTATCCTTTTTTTTCACCACGTGCTTGAGCCTCATGGGGCGTTTGCTCATGGGACAATTTTCTGGAGCGGGCGGTATTGGAGGTTGATTTTTTGGGAGGCTCCCAGTGCAGGAATTCCTGCAGCTCGCCTTTGTGCCAGCCTCTGTTGGCCTTGGGTGAGTGGTTCGATGGAGCCTGGCATCCAGGGAAAGCCGCTGCTCTGCCCAGCTCCTCCAAAGGGCTTGGGGCAGTTCAGAGGGATCGCTGTGACACACAGATAAGCTCAGCTTTGCAGACTCTGCCTGCTCATCCCAGCTCAGCTTTGCCACAGGCAGGTAAAGGTGGATTACGCTTGGCTGCCTGGCTTCGAAGCCTTGTTCATGCCATGGGATGCTGAGCACAGGACACACGGGCCCCTCATGGTCAGGGGAGGGACTGAGCTCTCAGTCCTGCTCTGTAAGAACTCTGGGAGAGTTGACAGGTGCTGTGCAGGATCTTGAGGGTTCATTTCAGCTTCTTTTCCTTGCCTATGCAAAAAACACGACAGCCCTGCAGTGGGTTACAAATGTCAGGTAATGCACCAGCCTGGGCTGAAATGACATCAAAACAGAAGCTGGTGTGTGGATCAATGGGTTATTTTTTGTAGTGCAGTGTCTCAAGTTTGCATGGCTCTTTAGGATCTACTGAAAGGTCCAACTTGGTGACAGAGTTGGGACAAAACTCAGGGTTACAATTCCCAGTCCTGGTGTCCTGTATACCCAAACAATGCCAATTTCCACTGAAACAACTCTTACTGGTGGTCACTGGAGTGTCCTGGGTGTCTGTCACACCAAGTGCTGTCTATGTGGAGATGAAGGTGGTCCCTACCCAGGGGAGTTTACATGTGCAGCCCAGTCCTCCCCAGTGTGTGGTGTTCAGGGATCCAGGCACCTGAGCTCCTGCCAAAGTGTCACTACAGCCAGCAACAATCTCAGGAATGCAGCACAAGTTAAACATTTCATTTGCTTTCAAGGGCTACTTGTTGCTTAATTTCTAAATGCAGCCTGTCCTCAGCCCCTGTTACATTGCTCTGGGCTGTTCTTCGGCTCCTAAATCTTCTGGTTTTTGTTTGGTTTGGAATGCACTGATTTACCATATGGAATAAATGAAAATCAAAAGAAAAGAGCATTACTTGTTTGCATAGGCCCTACATTGTTCTGTGCTCTGCTGCTACTGAAATAGGAGTGACAAATCCCAATCCCTGGACAGAGGTTTTTTGGGTGGTGGCTGTGTGCAAACAAGGCTGGGGAAGATAAACAAGCAGAAGAAAAATGGGTTTAGGAAATGCCAGTTGAGAATGGTCAATCAACTGATGGGTCAAAGCCAGCACAAGACCATCAATTAGCAAAGCCATATTGATATTGTTTCTCCAAAGCATTTTTTGCATCCACAAAGAGGGCTGAGAGCTGGATCTGTGGTCAAACTTGGCTGCAGTTAGGATTCTGTACAGTTTCTATGTTGCAAAGGGGAGTTTTAGAAAGGATTCTGCCTGTAGAAAATATGTCCACAGTTCCAGAAGGGCTCAGCCAAAAGGGTGATGAAAATCTGTCTGTTGGTGTCATCGTCAGAACTGCTGGAGGTGGGAACATTTGCTAATCTTGCTTATTTTAGGGGCCCTGCTTTCGGAAGCAGTTCAGTTCTGAAAATGCAGCTCTGAAAACTCAGCTCTTAAGAGTCTCATACAATACATGCCTCAGACTAGACTAAAGAGGGATGAATTTTTCAGACTGTAGGTTCTTGCTTGCCTAATTATGATTTTCAGCTTCTTTCAATTCAGTCTTTGCATTGTATAAATGTGACACAGAAGAAATAGCTGTGACATTGCCTGGCATTTTCTGTTCCAGCTGGGGAGGAACCAGCTAAACCTGCAGGGTTTCAGAGCTTGCAGAGCTGGTGTGGAAGGAGAATTTAGTTTCACGTTTGGGAAACAAACTCGGTTCCCTGAGTAATCTAAACTGTCACAATCTCTCTTCCTCCAGCACCCCCAGGCCTGGGGACAGTGTCACTCTTAAGGGGTAACTTTGGCACCCTGAGGCAGTGCAGGGTTGAGCAGGATTGTTGTATTCATACCAAACATGAATTCAAGGGAAGCAACTTTCACCAGCTCCAGTGGTTATATTTCTATTGGAACCTTTCAGTAGGTTAAAATCTCTACTATGGGTTTTGACTTCCCTGCTCAGTTGCCTCAGCAGACACATAAAGTGCCTGAAGATGCACAAAATGGCTTTTGGATGAGCTCAGGACTGGCCAAAGCCTAAACTGGTTTGGTTTGCAGGATTTGTGGCAGCTGCAGCTCCAAATCCAGTCTGGGATGGGTCCCAGAGATGTGGATAGAGAAGCCATCTCTCACTTCAGAGAGTTCTCTGCCACCATCCAGCTTCTGGAAGAGGGAGGAGAAGCTGCCCTGGGTGTGAGCAGAGCTCCAGAGCAGGGTGAGACGTGGGTCACAAACTGCTGGGCATGTACTAGAAAGGTCAGCAATGTTGTCAAAAACCCTGGCTTGGGGTTTGTCTGTGTTTTGTGGGCCTGGAGCCCCAGAGCTTTGTCTGTGATGTGGCAGCTCCATCTTCATCCATGGTGGGAGCGGGAAAGAACTTGGATGGACTCTGACCTTTGTGCTTCAGGAGTGCCAACAGTGTGAATAATGTATAGGAGTTCAATTCTTCTTTCCCTGGCCGGGGGCAAAGTGTCCCAGGTGATAGGAACTGGGAGCCAAATCTTGTTAAAAACAGTGTTAGACTTAGACCTTCATGAGATCCACTGCCTCAAGCAATTCCATTGTTCAAACCACATTTGGTTAATTAGTACATTAACTAATAACCTTCTCAGCATCCCAGGTAGGGAATATCTGTCTCCCAAAGGAGGGAACAGGCAAAGTGACTCACTAAGGCTGGATGCAGAAGCTTAGCAATGCAGCTGTTAAGTCTGGGTTTTTCTATTCCCAAATGATTTTGTGTGACTGCTGCTGCCTTATGCACATAATTTCCCTGAGACAGAAGTGGAAGAGTCCTAAAATCTCCCAAGAGAGTGCCCAGGCCCAGTGAGGGAAGGTACCCCTGGACAAACCTGAGAAGAAACGAATCCATTCAAATACTCAGAGGAGGCAATTTGCTTCACTCACATGCACCAACTAAGGAATAAAACCAAAACCACTTCTCCTCATTTTCAAGGAAAGCTTTTCTCACCACTTTGGCTTTTGACTCACATCTTCATCGACTCTAAATTTCATGAGCAAATAGCCAGTGTGGGGAGGAGAGAGCACACGAGGAATGGCAGTGGGGCTGTGTTTGTACAGGCTCACTGGGATGGGATCAGACCAGAGGGATAAGACCTGAGGAGATTCAGACAAACAGCCAGAGGGGAAACTTCGATGCTGAAGAAGTTCTTCAATTCCAACACATGATGATGAGCAGCTGATTTACACAGCTTTGCAGTGTGGTTGAAAAAAGCCCTGAGCTGAAGCACAAGGGTAGAGTTCTTTGGCTTGCCAGACCCATGACAACACCACAGACCCTGTCTCACAAGCCCTGATCCCAAACAGAAAGGAGAAGCTTGTTCTCTCCACCCAGCTCTGACCTGAAGGCGCTTTGTGCTTTGCCTCCTCTCAAATGACAATTCTCAGCTGCAAGGATGTGTGTGCAGAGGAATGAGAACCAACTCCTGCATGCAGGGATCCATCTCTGAGGAGGAGAATCTCACTGGGTTTAATTATGGGGCCACGTGAGTTATCAGTCTGCTGGCTTCCAACCAGCCCAGCCAGCCACAGCCCTGCTCAACACTGGAATGTCAAGGGAGTGCCTGGAATGAGGGAATGAGGGACCTGCTGGTGAGGTCACAGAAGGAGAAGGCAGCAAAGCAAGTGGCTGTCCTGAAGAAGGGACTCCTTTCACGACCACAGCTTAATGCACCACCAGTTTGCTGAGCCCACAGCAGCCCAGATTGGAGGCTACAAAAATATCCCTGTTCAGCAACTCCTTCCTTGTCCTTTGTGAAGCTCCAGCATTTTAATCATGTTCACACCTCCCTCTCCTGACACAAACCATCTCAGCTCCCTCCCAGGTCCACAAAACCTGTGCATTCCTGGTCTCATTCTCTTGCTTACACGTCAGACGCTCTCCCCTCCATCAACTTCCCAAACGTTCCCGTTTCTTATTCTCTGTATTCCCATCTTTACCCCCCTATACCCTCATTTGGCTAAGGTTTGTTGAATAACCAGCTACTGCTGAGGGGCTACATGCAGCTCTGAGTGTGCTGTTGATGGATTGAGCAACCCCAGCTCCATGCATGTCCCCAGTCCCATATTTCTCCATCTCAGGACCACCAGGAAGGTGCTGCTGATGTAGGGGCCCTGTTATTGGGAAAGGCAAAACACCCCACATGTGTCTTGTAAACGTGTCTCATCCTGCTCTGTTCATTTTCACTCAGAATAAGGGTAAAAACAGAGTTCCTCAGGTTGTGGGGGTGCCAGAGCAGCTGAAATTGGTTTTCATTTTTAGCTTCAGCCTGATATGCTGTGTGTGGCCATCCTTGATCTGTTCCTATACACAGCTAGAGCCCTTTGGTCATCATTCTTCAACCTGTCTTACTGGTTTTCCTAGAAGAGTATTACACAATAAATGCACTATTCTCTCCATGCACAGGTGTTTTCAAGCAAGCCTGGTCTTCTCAAAGCCTAGTAAAATAAACCAGACTTGGATCTCTCAAATACCTTCAAAATTCCCAGACTTTGAGGTTAATACAAAGTGCACAAACCTACTTGTGGGGTCACATGGCTCCACATCAAACCCATACCAGAAATCAGGATATCCTGAGCAGGTTCTCAGTGGAATTTGTTACAGGTGATGCTCATTTTTAGGGACATTTTAATAAGCCTAATGGATCACAACAAATTACTAATAAATCCATAACAGTTTTCACCTGGAGATCTTAGGTTACTTTACTTTGCCAGAAATTGCAGTGAGGAATAGTGGTTTTTAAAAAAAGACTAAAGACTTAACTTTTTTCACAGGATAATTCAAGATGGTGCCATTATGCTTCTGCTCTGAATTACTTTGCAGAGAAATTACCCTCCCCACTGACTTGAGAAAGCTGAGCAGGTCCAGCCTCTTGTGCTTAAATTTATCCCATGTGAATATGGAACAAAGTGCCTCATCCTATAGACAACCTTCCTTACAGGATTTTCCTACAGGTCCTGTAACATCTTCAAAGCTGTGCTGGGTTTTGGCATTTCCAGTTCCCTGCACTCTCCAGGGATAGGACTTCTAATGCAGAGATCTTACCAGTCCTAAATCCTGGGAATACTCCTGATTTTCACAGCTTGTCCCATCTACAGAAGCAGAAAGCCCAGGGGTGTTTGATTTGTGTCCTCCTAAGAGTTTTCCAATGCTGGGTACTCCCAGACAGATTTGTGAGATGTTTGCCTTCCTCTAAAACCCTGGTTTGTTTTGGTGAGGATTTGGAGGAACATAATGCCTGTGGTGGAGGGTGGAATTCATCTGTGTGTCTTGTTGGATGCTAACAGGGACTTCAGCCCTGTGCTTTCGGGAGAAGAGGGTCCAGTGAGAGGCATCTCCGGTTCCTCAAGCCATGGGTGCATTGCCCGGATGGGCAGCGGTGGTGCTGCTCCGTGGAAGGGCAGCAAGATAAAAGTCGTGGAGCTCACGAGGCTTTTTGTGGGCACAAGGTCCTTCTGGAGAGATCCTCTGTTTCTGAGGCAGGCACGTCCTGGCGGGACTGAGAGCGAGCAAGGAAAGCTCGGGTCGCTGCTCCCGCGGGTGCCTTTGGGCTCCGGGCTGTGGAGGCCACGCTGTCCCCAAGGCCGGGTTCCTCTCCCCCTCTCTGCGGCTGTTATTTACACCATTTCCTGCCCAGGGAAGTTCAGGAGTTTGACGTTACTGGCTTGGTTTCCGCTCTCCTGCCCGGCTCCCTTCGGGAGCTCCCGCAGAGCTCAGCAGCAGCCGGGCCGGACCGCGCGGGCGGGATGGCGGTGCCAGGCTGGCCCAGGAAGGGAAGTGTCACCCATGTCAGGCCGGACAACTCGGGCTCAACTGGCTTGGGAGGGCTGGAAAACCAGCCCTGTGTCCATCCCTCCGGCTCAGCCCCGCTGTGGGACTGGACAGGGCCGGCAGGAGGAAGGAGGACGCGCCCGGGCATGGCTGCAGAGCTTTTGGGTTCCTGCCGAATTGACGCCCTCCCCTCTCCCCCCTCATCCTTCCCGCCTGGCCTGCGTCTCCCCTCCCTTCCCTTCTCCCTCCCATCCCGCAGCAAACAAAATGGCTGCTCCATGGCCATTTTGTTTCCCGTCTGGAAGGGGGAAGCCGGGACGCTGGGACTTGGCTCTTTTTTGGAGGCTGCGGCCATGTCCGAGCCCAACTCTCCCGTCTCTACGTGGCACCGGCTGTAGCAAGAGAGAGAAAGGGAAAAAAAAGAGAGAGAAAAAAAAAAAAAGGACATTTTGGAATGAAACCAAAGGCAGAGGCAGAGAGTGGGTAGTTTTGGCGTATGTTGAGCACTGAAAATGCCTGGAATTGCCAAACTGAGCTTTTGTATGAGCAGCGTAAGGGCTACTCGGTGCACGCAGAGCCGCGGGGCTGCACGGAATAGCCGGACGGAAAGGTTTGTTCGCTATATTCAATAAAACAGCCCTCCTTTCTTCTGGATTTATAAAGTACCAGAGAGCACTGTTGTCTTAATTTGTTTTTGGACGGGCGGATGGTTTTACACATCGGCTTGGTATGACCAGAGCCGGTCATTGCCGGACGGTAGCGTTTTAACCTGTTGTGTGTCCTCTTGTTTTTGGTGCATACGGGATCTGACCTTTCCACCGAGCTGGCACTGCCTGGATTTAGCTGATGTAATCCGGAGGATATTTTTTTAGGGATTTTTTTGTTTATTGCCTTCTTGCCTTGAAAGTTTTCATCTCAGGAATAAAAACATCTTAATTTAAATATTTAAAGCAATAGCTGTTCTTGGCTTTTTAAGCCCTTGCTTTTCTCCCAAGGCTGGAGCTGCACTGTGCTCACAAGCTGTTTACTGCACTCTGTGTGTATCCTGCACACGTAAAGGTGTGATACACAACAGAAACACCATCCACAGGAACACGCCTTGAAAGTTTAAAGCAACTTGGTGACGTTATCGTAAAATTTTGTGCAGAAGCAGGGCAAAAACACCACAACATGCGCCAGATAAAAGTGATTTTTTTTTTTTGTAAGTGATTTTGCATTTCCTTCAGTAGCCTGGATGTCTTGGCGTTAGTAGCCACGTCACTTTGTTTGTGGACACTCTGAGGAGCAGATCCCTGCCCTGTGGCACAGGGTGGGGGATCAGGCTCTGATAAGGTGCTGGAATGATCATCCTGCTGTTCCTTGAGTGGCTTTCCAGACATGTGGAGAGAAGCAGACACTTCCAGAGCGGAGCTGGGAAGGAGAGCAGAAAGAGGTGAAATGGCTTTCCTTGCACAGAAAGGTATTTGATTTGCCTCCATATGCCCTGGGCTTGTTTGCAGACAGACAATAGAGAGAATGGCAGGGCCACGGTGGTCCTGGAGCTGGGGCTGCACGGGCGGGCGCTGGGCGGGTGCTTCATGGTGCAAATGTAATGTTCTGGTCCAGATCTACATTAGAGGTGGACATTACCTGCACACCTTTCATGAGCAGCTTATGAATTCAACGTTGAGAAGGTTAACAGTATTAACAGAATAGTTTTACAGAGTATTACGGAAAAAAAAAAATTTCTTTCGATTTTTGAGTTAAACTGTAGAATTGAGAGCAGAACAGGTAAAAATTAGCCTGAAGGATATTTTTTCCTCTTATAATTAGTATTTAATGAAATTACACTGTGAAATATCAGTAGCACCTATCTTTTATGACAAAAATTCTGGGGCATTTTTTTGCTTCAGGAGAGGGTGAGGTATATACAAATTTACAAGGAAAATGCACAAACATTTAGAAAAAGCATTGCCTTTATGGCCACCTTTAATAATGCATTTAGGAAGGGTTAATAAAAGATAAGTCATATAACAAACAGGTTACAGATGCCTGCATTATAGATAACAATATCAGATTCATTAATAATGATCCAGATGTTTAGAAACATCTGATAGGACTCAAGACAACCCCTAAGAGATAAGCAGCTGTTTATAAAGATACCTGCTAATTGTTTAATAATAAATGCGATGACAAAGTTGATGTGAAATATTCCCTGTGTCACTAGAAGTGTGTGGAGTAAAAGCATTGCTGAGAGACATGGGCTGTTGCAGCACTGATTTGTAAATATTTTTACTTCCATTTCTCTTTCCCTATTCATGGTGTCTGTGATCAGTTGTTTCAAAGTGAGATATTTAATATTGACTTTAGCATGGGGTGTTTGCAAAGTTGGTTGGCCTTGCTTTGCTGAGAGGTTTTCCTGGCCTGGGAGAAGCTATAAACAACTTGTCTTCATGGCTAGTTTGGCAAATGTCATTTTTTATTGCTTTCCTGTGGCACAGGGTGTGTCCAAGATGGGTTTTTGGGTTGTTTTCTGCTTTTCGTGTGAGCGGGTTCCTCGCTGCCAGCCGGATCAGCAGCTCCGATTGGCGCTCTGGGGGTCCCCACAATGTTGGGGAGTTACTGAAAACCTTCCATCATTCTCTTGGCTTATTTTTGGTTTGATTTTTAATTTTTTTTTCGTATATTTGGGTTTTATTTTTCCAGCCAGGTTGGGAGGAGATGAAGCCAAGGGAACAAAATGGCCACACTCGGCCATTTTGTGCCAACGCCGCCGTTCCAGGGAGCCGGGGCTGGTTCTGCCCCAGCTCCAGGAGGCTGAAAATCCTCTTGGAGACTCAGGGTCCTGATTTCCCACTGAGAAGCCCTCTCTGTCCCTGGCACGTTTCGGCACCGACACAAAGGCTGAAAGTGGTGTCAGCTTTTAAAGCAGAGACTTTGTTGTTTTCTGGTTTCCTCCTCCCCCCTCCTCCATTTCATTCAGTGCTCCTTAATGAACCAGATCAGCTCCTCAAGGCTTCGGAGCCTTTCCAGCTCCTCTCCGAGGTGGGCTCCTTTTAAATGCAGACACTTGGCCGTGCTCAGGGATCTCTGGTGCAAAGATATTTCAAAATTTGGGGGGCATCATCTTGGGTTTTCGGCTGGGGTCATCACAAGCCATCCTGAGCCCTGATAAATGAGGAGCAGTTTAGGTCACTTCTTGATTCCCAAAAACAAGTCTGACAGCTGGACTGGCAATGCTATTTTTATTGAAGCCTGGATGATCTTACTGTGGAAAAAACATACTCTTTTGCCTCTCAATTTTCCTCACCCCTCCAAGCACCTGTAGACAGTGAGACCATGTAGTGACACACTGTGTGCACAGGACCTTCATGCAGTGGCTTGAAGAAACCAATGAAGTGTTTTCACAGAAATCAGATTTGATCAATTTTGAGGGACCCATATAAATATGGAAAGTGGAAATTACAGGGCCACTGCCTTAAAGCCTGCACAGAAAGTGGTGTTTTTTGAAGAAGTTCTTGGCAATCGAGTATCCAAAAATCTTCCAAAACTAAGTTGAATCTCAGAAGGCAGTGAGAAGCCTTGGATGCGGGTCTCTGACTCCTACAGACCCTGTTGGCTGTTTTATCCAGAATTTTGCATAGCTGCATCACATCCAGGCAAATTTGGGCACATCTTCTTCCTTCCCTGTCTTTTGTCTTGATGGTTTAGACTTCGGGCCATGAGGAGAGGGAATTCCTGTAACTGCAATTTGTGTAGGACAAACAAGTGTGACAGTGATACTAAGGGTAAGATGCTCTTAGTCATCCTTACCGGGCATAAAAAATCCCCCTGTTTGATCCATAAATCCTCCTGTTTGACTCCTTTCCTCACAGATCCTGCTAAAATCAGGATTCCAGAGTCAGCAGCTGGGTATTCCCAAAACCTATACTCATTAAGACAATTATTATAATTAAGTCTTCTGTTTTCAGGTTTACTTATAGAAGTCAGAAGGGATTTTTTCCCCCTCTCTCCATGTATAATTACATCTATGTGAGCTCAGAGTTATTTAATGTAATTTCCCACCAACAGTTTGAGATTGGCCCAAATGCCTGTTGTCTGCAAAAGTATCAAGAGTGACCTTTGAAATGCCTGTCTGACACATCTGGCTTATGTGCTTAAATTAATAGAAACCACCAGATTGGGAACCAGGAAAAATTGTTCCTCCAGGTCAGTTGCTAAAAATCTCTTTGGAGAAGACAAACATCTTCTGCCTTTATGCATCACCCAGAAATCATCTGGACCACCCACCCTCCCAGTCCCTGACCAGTGCTGCATCTGGTGGTTTTCTTGCCACTCTTCTGCTTGATGCTTGTGGCAGCAGCTTAATTTTTGGGAAGCTGAAACATTTTAGTTTAAATTAACCCTTCTGTCCCCAAGGAGCTGAGCAGTGCCCGACCTGATGGACCCTTAAGTCTGGCTGTTACCTCTCCGAAGCTCTGGCTGGTGTTGCACGTGCTGAGGAGGGATGTGCATCCCCTGTGCATCACTTTCCATGCTGATAAAAACGGGAGAAACAGCATTTCCCAGCAGGAGGCTGTTTGGGATGCACTTGGCACCTGGGATGGGCCGGGCACTCCAGTGCTGCAGGAACCAGTTCTGCCACGTTGGGGTTTTGACGTTGTTCATACCCTGGTACACCAGATGGCCCAGCACAGTGGGTCATTCCCTGTCGAGGACCAGTTTGTCAAAGGAAATTAAGAGAATTACCTGGACTGTGCTGAATGCCAGTGAGGAGAGCCTGTGGAGAGCTCTGGAAGAGAGCATTTCCAAACCTTGCTGCAGAGATACCCTTGCACCTGAGGCCATCCTAAGCTCTCACAAGGATTCCAGCTACAGTAGTTGACCATAATTTTGGGATTATTTAGGCTGTTGCTTGGTAGCTGTGGAAGCACAAGGCATTAGGCAGCTTTTATCCCTTTGGAGACTTCTGCCTGAGCGCTCTCCTCTCCCACCACAGCATTCAGCAGATGCTTGTGGAGGCTGGGGACATCTCCTGCTGAGCTCCCATGGGAAGTTATCCTTTGGGACTGTGCTGGGCTGCACATGCAGCCTGCTTGGCGTGGCTCCCTCATCATTAGGGCTTCTTTCATCTCCAAGGGGAATTCTTTCTTCTCCTTGCAAAAGAGCCTCACACGTTTCTTTCAAACTACCAGATTAATACCTCGCCTCTGTATTTGGGTGTGCAGGAGTGAAGAAGCCTCAGAAGGTGAGCCAAGGGCTTGGGGGAAAGCCAGTCTGTCTCGGATCCATGCGAATACTGCTTGGCTGGGCTGGAGCATTAGAGGGACAGCACGGCTGCATGTTGCACTCATTTGTTTAGGAAATAAGATCTGCCTTGATGTACTCGATACCATTACATTTGCAGCCTAAAAGCTTCCTTGTACTTAGTTATTTCTAATCTGCTCAATTCCCTGGAGTGCACAGCAGCTAAATTGATGGATTCTCTTATCTGGTCTGGCAGGTTTGTTCTAGATACGCTGTGTGTTCAGGAGGTGAGGTCAGCCTGGCTGGGTGTGCTTGGCACTGCTGCAGCTTCCCGAGAGCTCTGCTATCTCCATGTGTAGCCCCAGGTTCCAAGGGCAGGGCTGCTGCTTTTGTGCACCCTTGGGTGCATGAAGTCTGCAGCCAGTGTAATTGCCAAGCACAAGGTATAGTCCAAGTGGGCTGAAGGAGGTTTGAAGAAGGAGAAGGAGCTCCAGGACAAGGTTGGATATGACTCCTCTCCCTTGCCATCAAGAATTTTGATTTTTCATGCATTCCTCTTTGCAGGACCTGCAGAGCAGCCAATGCCTGGATAAGGATCATCTCAGTGCCTGGATAAGGATCATCCCAGTGCCTGCATGAGGATCATCCCAGTGCCTGGATAAGGATCATCCCAGTGCCTTAGGCTGCCATGGTCCCAAGCTGTCCTTGAGGCTGAGGTAGTAGATTGAATAGTTGTGGAGTCTGGTCCTCCCTCTGAGCTAACTATACAATCTACTGTCTTTCCTAAGGAGACAGTCAGGTCTTCAGGTCTGCACATCCACTTCTACACCAGGTGTGGGGCAGGTGGTGCAAGTAAAGCAAATCCGTGCCCGTGACCGTCTGTTCTGCTCTGTGGAGGTGAGGTAGTAGGTTGTATAGTTTGGTGGGAGGGATTTGATCCCATTTCAGGTGATAACTATACAGTCTATTGCCTTCCTTAAAGAGCAGCAAAACCACCGGAGGAGGAGCTCCCGAGGCATCATCACTTCTTTTGTTGAGGATCCAAAAACGCAGCATGGCATTGTTAAACAACTCAGTGGGTGTTTCTCTTACAGCATCCAGAATTGCATTCTTCCAGGAATTGCTTCATGCCTCAGGCATTGGAGCATGGAGCCACCTGCTTCCAGGGAACCCACCTCTCTTTAAGATTTGAGGGAAATGAGTTTCCACAGCAGCTCCCAGTGTTCAATTCTATTCTTTTTTTCCAGGAGATGGGTTCAAGTTGCAAAGTGTTTAAATGTGTTGATCTTCTCTGGTCTGTCCTCAGGTCTGGAGAGGAGCAGATACTTTTGTATAAATGGGACAGAGCTGAGCTCATTATTAAATTTTGCTGTGCCCAGTTCTGAAGTTTGGGTCAGAACCAGACCCAGGGGCAAGCTTAGCCTGTGGACTCAGAGCCCTGGGAGCTGATCAGATTTGGCTGGTTGGGCCCTGCTCAGGAAGTGCATTTTGTTTTGGACAAGTTCCCAGACTGTCCCATGGAACAGAATTAGAGGGTGGTTCTTTTTGATCTGATAATCCCTTATCAACTGAACTCCCTCACATGCAAACCCTGTCAGGGAAGTTTGGGGCTCTTGGATATTTACATAGGATGAACTAACGATTCCAACTAAAATCTTGTCCTAAAGTGGAGACAGGTAAGGAAGAGACATGAGCCAAAAGGAGCAGGTTCTAATCCTTCTGGGTTCTCCCAGGCAGTCACCTGACAACAGACATGCGAGAAGTCATCACACTTCAGAGCTCTGGCCCTTGGCAAGGGACAGGGAACTGTTAATTCTTCTGTTTCTTAGGAGCAGATGGGACTATCTCTCTGCCGTTTTCCAGAGTAAGTAGGATCGAGACCACGAGTGGAGCTGTAACACGATCAGGGCTGCATCAAGAAGGACATTTCAGGCCATTATCACGACCATCTTACTGCCAGGGAGACTGTGAGATCCGAGACACCGGGGAGCGGGGGCAAGCAGAGGACACCTTCTCAGATGAAGTGGGAGGGAGAGAGCAAAAAGAAATTTGAGGCCTCGAATTTCACCCTGAGCAAAGGCAGAGGGAGAGGCAGACCTGGCTGCGGGTCCGTGGGATTCCCCAGAATGGAGCAGCTCATTTCAGGCCCTTCTGCTGGGACTGGGCGTAGCTGCAGCGAGGCTGGGACACAGCTGCTGGGTGGGGATGCTGCAGTTCCAAGCGGCTAAGGAATGCAGCCCTCTCTCCATAAATCTGCCTTTTCAGCAGTCCTGGCGACTTGCTGTGCAAAACTACAGCTTGGTCCTCTGAGCTGCGTTATTATCCTCCAGCTGCTTGCTCAGGGGCAGGGCTCCTGCCCGCAGATTGCTTGGAAGGTACCAAAATAGCAGCACAAGCATGGGAACAGGGCGGCATATCCACTTCATCCGGAGAGGTGTCCCCTGGAAAAGAGCTAATCCCACGTGTCTCAGATGGAATCTGTTCAGCCCCCCTGCATGGCATTGATACTAATGCAGAGAATCTCAAACAGTGGAACTGTGTGAGCTGAAGCCATGAATAAAATATTGCTGGAGATAGTCCCCTTGTGAAAATAAACTTGGTTTGACTTTTTTAAAACAGAGTCTTTTTACTGCCCTGAAGTGAGCTTGGCTGGTGAACTGGGACATCTTGAGGGGTGGTCACTGTTCCTGATGAGCAAAATCCTGGGTGTGAAAGGGAAGCCAAAGATGAGGATGTGGGGCAGACTGATTTGGCCAAGCAGCTTAGACCATGTGTGCTGGCTGTCAGCAGGTGCTTTCCTTACACAAATTTTTTGCACAACTTCTACACAAAGCCAAACTTGATTCCTCATCCTCAGTCAGCTCAAGGGCTGCAGGTGGGGCTTCCCTCTGCCTTGGACAGTTCTTGCTATAATACATTTATAATGTGTATACCAGCAAGAGAAGAACACAGGGTCCACTAACCCATATAAATCCCATCAAGGGCTAAGAAACCATCCCAGATAATGTTTAATTGTTCCAATGCATCCTGGCACAAAGGAAAGGAAAGCTTTTCCCAGGAGGAGGGTGACCAGCCCGGCTGAGCTTCCACCCATGGATATGTGGGACACTCACCTGATTCACTGGCCAAGATCCCACAGCACATGGCACTGGGGCAGCCACATCATCCCTGACCACAATGGCAGGGAGGAATAGGCACATCCTTTTAGCAAAAAGCAGCCTGGAAGCAAGATCAAGAAATGTGGGTCCTCCCCAGACCCTCAAGGACATTGTGGAACGAGAGCATTTTCAGCCCAAACACTCTGAGGAAATACTTGGAAGCTGGATGGAGCTGCCAGCAGCATAACCCCAAATGCAAATACCCAGCAGGATGTAGGTGCTCACCCCAACCTTTCTGACCCACTGCATTCATGGGAGATCCAGGAGCTGAAGCAAAGGAACCTCCTCTCACTCAACCAGCAGCAAACACCTCCCTGTCCCTGCTGGGAACTGGCCCAGGGGTGGAGGGAGCCCAGCAGGTGAAACCAGGCCTCATAAACACCACAAATCCCAGCATTTAACCCAAGTCAGCACAGCTGATGGGTGATGCCTTCTCCTCCTCCCAGCACTCAGAGCCATGGGGCTGTAAGAACCTGGCAGAATCTTTGCCAGGGTCACCCCAGTGCCAGAGTCCCCTTGATGCCAACCCCCAAAATGGAGTGGGAATGCTGCAGAAGTCTGCCTTGAGTGTTTGTGTGCACTCGCCTGTGCAGCACACCAAACCCTGCCCTTGCCCAAAGGCCCAAAGTCAGGATGAAGCCAAGCCCCCCAAAGGCTGTGTGGGCAGGCTCAGCCCCTGTCCCGGCGAGCAGGGCAAGAGGAAAGCGGATTTCCTTCTGGCTTGGAGCTTTCTGCTGCAAGGATCTCTATAAATAGGTCCTTGCACAACAGCCTGTCCCCACAAGTCCAAACCTTCAGGAAAACAAAACCCAAGAGTTTTCACAAGGTTCACAGCCCCACACTGGTGATAAAACACTTCAGTCCTGGAATTCTGTTGGTGGCTGATAATCAGCAGCACCGTTGGACCTCGATGGCTCTCAGCGGGATGAGGGGATCCAGCACTGCAAAAATCAGGGTTTGCCTGAGTGCCCTGATCTTGCTGGGAGGAGAAATGCTTTTCTGCTCTTGGTAGTGTTTCTAGGGAACTTTTAGGGAATGCCACACCGTCCTTCACACAGATGCAAAAGCAGACAAGGTCCTGCAGTGCTCTCCCAGCTCTGAGCCCTCTCCCCTCACACGGCTGAGGAGCAGCCTCTGGGGCTGTATTTGTTCATCTGTCCATAAGGCAGGGAGGGATTTCTCCCCCGAAGGCAGCTCGGCAGCAGGAGCTCAGCCTGCTCCCAGAGCGTGCAGCAGCCAGGGCACCTGGGCACGAGGTCATTTAAAATCTGATCCTTAACTACATCTGAACTGGCAATGAAATCCAGCTGAGGAGTGCGGGCAGGGCTGAGCTGCCCAGTTCTCAGCGGTGCCTGTCCCAGTGCCATCTGCTGGTCACCTCCTGGCTGGGCTGGGCTGGGCTGGGAGCTGAGAGCAGCCCCAGGCAGCTGGGCTCTGCAGGACAGCTGCTGCTGCTGCTGCTGCTGCTGCTGCTGCAGGGCTCGGAGGAGCGGAATGTGCAGCTGCAGGGCGGCTCTGCTGCGAAAAGCAGGGGCAGGAGGATGGGGAAAAGCAAAAAGGCAAAGTCAGATACCAGAATCACTCCAGTGCTGATTCTGCCTGTCGAGGCCCTTTCTCCTTATGCTGCTGCCAGAGGGATGTTCTGAGGTGAAAATGCTGCAAAAAAAAACAGAATCTGGGGATGTACACTTGTATTTAACTTTTTTCTGTGCCACAGAGATGAAATTGTGTGTGAGAGGCATGTGCCTTCCTAAAACAGAGAACCAGATGTGCTCCAGCCATAGTTTTTATTTCTTTTTTTGCTCTGAGCTCTTTTTGCTTTGCTTTCCTTGTCCAAGAATTCCTGGTGGGGACACATTTTTACTTTACACTCAGCTGGATGCTCAAGAAAAATTCCCTGCATCATCCTCAATCCCCTTGGCCTCCTGCTGCTTTTACACAGGTTTAAAAACATTAAGTTACACCCTTACAAAAAGCAGCACATAGATGCTTTTGGAAAGCCAAAAAACCTCTTCAGGACCCACGGAAGTCATGTTGTCTTTTAGCAATTCTGTGTAAGCACATAATTAAGAGCATTTTACAGGTATAATAAGTAGCTCCCAGGTGTCCAGATCCCCCAGAGAGAGAGTGAATAGACTTTCACAACAGGATTTATTCAGTGCATGCTCTGGGGATGCACAGGACAGAGCAGCAGTGGAGGATCTGAATAATGGTCTTCAAGTCATCCTCCACCTCATCTGTAGAAATGAAAGGCTGCAGTGACCACAGAAGGGGCTGTATCTGCCCATTATCTTCCTTCCACCTGTCTGCAAAGCTTGTCACATATTTAACACACCTGACTGGGAATCCTCAGGTGAAGGGAGGAGAGAAGTGGGGTAACAAAACACAGTGGCCCAGACAATGCCAGTGGTCCTGCAACAGGCCCAGGAGCCACCAATAACCTCTAACAAGGTCACCTGTATCTCTGGAGCTCAGATTGTACCAGCACAAGTGGGGACTTGTTCTCCTTGACCACACACACACAGATTACATGTCAAGAGGAATCTGTATCTAAATTCAAATACACTGAAATTATGCAAAGAATGAAGCCATGCAGGGAAAAGCTACATGGAGGAGCTGGTGGCCTCTCTCAGCTCTGAAGGTTTCTCTTCTGTGCGTGCACACAGGTGCAGGCACAGGCGTAAAATAAATCTGTGGCTTGGGAGGAGGCAAGGGCTGCAGAGTGTGAGGAGGAGAGGGGGAGCAGCTGGGTAGTACTGGCCAGAGCTCCATCAGAACCAGGAGGAAACAGAAATCCTCAAAACAGCCACTCTATTTGGACAAGAAGGGAAGGAGGTAAGACTTGTCCAAAACTGAGACGGACACATTGGGAAGGAAAAGAGCATTTCTGCTGGTAAAAACCACCAAAGCCAACCACCATGTCTCATCTACAAACACCAAAGCCAACCACCATGTCTCACTGTCCCCAGGTCACCCTGCTGTCCCCAGGGTCAGGCTGTGGCAGGGCCTGCCAGCCACACAGGCAGATGGGTGGGAGAGCTCAACACTTCCAGCCTGGAAATGGAATAGAAGCCAGGAAAAAGGAGAAGCATCCAAGGTCACCAGCATTATGGCAAACACCCTCCTGCCCTCAGGTCTGCTCAGGAAGGGGACAGAGTTCCCCCAGCACTGATGGCTGCCCTTGGCTCGCCGGGGCTGCGGCAGAGAAGGCAGCGTGAGGAGGGAGCGTGTGAATTGTCCAAGGAGTCTCCTGAGCCTGCCAGGGCTGTGGAACAACCAGCACTGACAAAGCCTTGGTGAGAGGTGCAGGGACAGCTGAGGAAGACCCTTCAGAGCAGAAGGCCCAGCAGGATGGCACTGGGGAGGAGGAAGAGGGAAAGGCCCAAGCAGGTACTGGGGGCTCTTCCTTTGGGTGGATCCACACTTGTCTGGTCATGGTTTGTCTCCAGTTCTTCTGTGTCCAGGGCACCTGCTGGAAGAAGAGAGGAAAATGTAGAGTTAGAGGGGAAGATCTGGCAGAAGAGAAGCTCCCACTCATGCAGGTGTGCCATGACGTGCCCCGAGGCTCCGTGAGGCAGCTGAGCTCTGGTCCAGGGAAGCTGTGCGTTAGTGGGAGCAGGCTGTGAATGGGACCATGCTTCAGAGATGAGACATCCAACCAGCCCCTCAGGGTTAGAGCAGAGTGAGGAAAAGGCTTGGTGCCACATACAAGAGGAGGATCCAAAGGACCAGTCTGACACTGCTCCTCCCAAGCCCTCTCCATGCTGCTTGGGGATCCCTGAATGTCCAAGTGTCCATGCCAGGACAAACTCCACGGTTGCCTTACCTGAGAGGGAGGTCTGGAAATGGGGGCTCAGCCCTTTTTTGTCTTTGGAGGATGATGTTAAACGCAAGAACGTGGGCTCTTCAGGGCTGAGGACCACTGACTTGGAGGGGGTTATGAGCTCAGCTCTATTGAAACCTAGCTTCATCTCAGGAACAGCTTGGCTGAGGGATGGAGATTGACTGGGAAAGGCTGATTTCTCTTTCCCATGCTCTTTGACACCTTTCTTTATTTCTGGGACTGATCTGGGGCTGAAGGCTGTGCCCATGCTTTCTAATGAGGCTGGATCCTCTGTAGTGAAGGAGCTAAGAGGCTCCCCAGTGTCTGCCTCTGGAGATACATCATAATCTGGGTCTAAGGTGGGCTCAAAGGAAAGAGTGATCCCGGTTGCCTCAGTAGGATCAGGTCTTTCTGGTTCTGGCTTTGTGGTTGTGGCAGTTTTCAGTTGTGTCTTTGCTGTTGTGGCAGGTGCTAGTGTTGTAGCAGCAGGTGTTGGCTTGGCTGTAGTGGTGCTAGATGTTGGTGTGGTGGGTGTTGGTTTGGCTGTGGCTGTAGCAAGTTTTGGCTTAGCTACAGTTGGGGTGGATTTTGGTGTGGTGGGTGTTGGCTTGGCCATAGTTGTGGTTGGCTTTGGTTTGGCTGTAGAGGTGGTTGTGGTGGGGTTTGGTGTGGTGGGTGTTGGTTTGGTGGTGGTGGTGGTTGTGGTGGATGTTAGTTTGGTGGTGGTTGTGATGGGTTTTGGTGTGGTGGGTGTTGGTTTGGTGGTGGTGGTGGTTGTGGTGGGTGTTAGTTTGGTGGTGGTGGTTGTTGTGTTGGGTTTCAGGGGGGTGGGTGATGTCTTGGTGGTAGTGGTGGTTGTTGGCTTAGTGGTGGTGGTTATTAGGGTGGGTTTTGGTGTGGTGGGTGTTGGCTTGGCTGCAGTGCTGGTGGCTGCTGGCACGGTGGGTTTTGGCTTGGCCGTGGCTGTGGGGGCTGCTGGTGCTGTGGGTTTTGGCCTGGCTGGGGTTGTTGTTGGGAGCATGCTGGCAGGTTTTGGCTTGGCTGTGCTGAAGGGTGCCTGTGCTGGGGCTTTGGGCTTGGCTGTGGCTGGGAGGGTGGCTGTGGGTGGTGGCTTGGCTGTGGTTGTGGTTGGCAGTGTGGTTGTAGGTTTTGGCTTGGCTGTGGTAGACACTGGTTTTGTGGGTACAGATTTGGCTGTGGTGGACAATGGTGTGGGTTCAGGTTTTGCTGTATGTACTGATGTTGTAGGTGCTGGTTTGGCTGTGGTGGACACTGGTGTGGGTTCTGGTTCAGCTGTGGTGTGAACTGGTGATGTGGGTTCAGGTTTGGCTGTGGGTTCAGGTTTGGCTGTGGGCTCTGGTTTGGCTGTGGGCTCAGGTTTGCCTGTGGGTTCTGGTTTGCCTGTGGGTTCAGGTTTGGCTGTGGCTGTGGGTTCTGGTTTGGCTGTGGCTGTGGGCTCAGGTTTGCCTGTGGGTTCAGGTTTGGCTGTGGGCTCTGGTTTGGCTGTGGGCTCTGGTTTGGCTGTGGGCTCTGGTTTGGTTGTGGGTTCAGGTTTGGCTGTGGGTTCTGGTTTGACTGTGGGCTCAGGTTTGGCTGTGGCTGTGGGCTCTGGTTTGGCTGTGGGTTCTGGTTTGGCTGTGGGCTCTGGTTTGGCTGTGGGCTCTGGTTTGGCTGTGGGCTCTGGTTTGGCTGTGGGCTCTGGTTTGGCTGTGGGCTCTGGTTTGGCTGTGGCTGTGGGTGCTGGTTTGGTTGTGGCTGTGGGCTCTGGTTTGGCTGTGGCTGGGGCGGATGGCCTTGCCTTTGTTGTCTCAGAGGCCGGAGTGGTCTCTTCTACAACGAGTTCTGGTGAGAGATGAAAAGTGCCATGGGTTAGGGCTGGCTCAGCTGACCTCAATGGATCCCCTGCACTGAGCAGGACCAGCAGAAGCCAACGAGGGCTGAAATAGCAGCCAACCCCTCTCAGGTCACTCTGGGCCATCCCCCACTCTGGGGTTCCCAACCTGGAGACATCTCAATGTCCCTCACAACCTCCTGCCCCACAAGAGGCAAACCCCACTGCCTAATGGGGTACAAGCCCCTCCTTATCTTAAGGCAGTTGTCCTGTCTCATGGTCCAGCCCTGGAACTGCAGCTCAAGGGCTTCCTGACAGCTCCAGGAGGGTTCAGAGCTCACACCCAGCCCAAGGTCACAGTCCCAACAGCCTCTCCAGGGGCTCTGTGGCTCTGCTCACTCACCACACAGGTTGTTCACACAGACTGTGTCCGTGGGGCACATTTCACACGAGGGTCCTTCCTGGTAGGGCTTTTTGCCTTTCACGTTACCCCTGGAAGCAGAAAACACCACGATAAAGAAGGCATGAGGAAAGGGGAAACACCCATCCCAGAGAGGGGGCTGATTCAGCTGGCATATCCCAGCCAGGGCAAAACTTGGGATTCATGTAGAAAACAGATCTTGGACTTCTGCCATGGCTTGTCAGGGCCATTTACTCACCAGCCTGACCCCAAGGCAGCTAAAGCCAGGGCAGACAACTCCATGGAGCAGATCCCTCACCCTCTCAGAACAGAGCAGGGGATGGATACTGGGACAGGGAATACTTGTCTTTCTCACCCCAGGAAGGTCTGCAGCCACTGGCCACTCTTGGTGCTCTCAGAAGCTCCAAGCAAGTGGTGCCAAGTCTGGCCAGGAGGTAACCAGCTCTCTTCCCATGTCCAACCCTTCCTGCTGCTGCAAAAGGGCTTCTCCACCCCAGGCAGCAGCTACTGCTGGCAGGGAAGAACAAGGCTCAGGGCAGGGGCATGTTTGTACCCCCAGCTACTGCCACCTCAGCCTTCAGCAGCTCTCGGGGAAGAAGGTCCCTCCCTCGCTGTGTTCCAGGAGCTGAACCAGAACTCAGCAGTCACAATCATAGGCCAGGATCTCCAGACAACCCTTCCTTAGTCTGGGACCAACCCAAGATAACAGAAGCATTATTTGGAACATCTATTTCTGACCAAGGACAAACCCTGCTGTGACATAAGGCTGAAGCCAGGGTATTTCCAGCACAGAAACCCCACTGAGATGCACCAATCCATGCAGGGCCTGGGACTTACGGGGGATAATAGTTGCAAACAAGCAAGTGCATGTTCTCTGTTTCAATTCCATCAATCTTCTCACAAAAATGTGCCCCACAGCCGATCTGATGTGTGCTTGACCAGACCACCTAAGGTAAAAAAAACAGGGTGGAGGTGAGGGGATTGGGTAAAGGCAACTTGTCCCCTGGCCTTAAAGGCTGCTCCAAAGACCTCCTCATCCCACAGATCCCGCATCCCCACGTTGCTTTGGCATCCAGCAAAGCAACTCTGCTTTGCTCCTACCCAAGCTGCCAAGAAACACTCAGACTTCATCTCTCTGTCTGAGAAGATCTGGCACCCAGCTCTGCTGAGCAGCCACCCCTCCACCCCAGCAGCTGGTACCTGGGTGTAGTGGCCACACATCTGCCCGGGGACACACGTGGATGTTGTCAAGTTGTAGAATTTCTCCTCCCCGTTCCAGTCTTCCACGGCGAATTCTAGTTCCAGGGTTGGGGCCATAGCAAAGAGGTTTTCTCCCCGTCGGCCCCTCTCCTTGTTGTGGTCCCAGATGCACTTCTCTGCATAGGATTGAGCAAGGGCCTCCAGCTCCTTGTCCCAGGTCTGAAAGGAGCTCAGAGTCAGCGCACAGAGAGGGACACTGGGCTCTCCAACAGGAACAAGGCACTCACCAAGGACCCCTGCAATGTCCGGCTGCAGTTTCCCCTTTCATAAAGAAAATTCAAACCCCTACCCAACATGGTCCTCAGGAGAGGGGAGCTCCATGGTCAGTCCCAGCACAAACTGAACCTTGGTTTATGGGTCAAAGAGGAGAAGGTCAGGGCACCAGCACAACTCTCACAACCTCTCCTGGAGCTCATCTAACACCATCATGGAGCATCCTCAACTCAGCATGGAGAAACCATGAAGTCATGGCGGAAGAAGGAAACCCACTGTGGGTCATGCCAGAGGGGTCTGGGGCCATCCCTCCTCGCCCAGGGTGGGGACAGGAGGGGAATGGGACACATCTCTCCTGGCAGCTGAACAAAGCCTGGGAGCACTGGCTCCTGGGAAGCATCATCTGTTTGCCTGGAACCGAGACGTGGCTGCCTGGCTGCTGGCCAGGAGCCCCCTCTGGAGCAGCAGCGGCCCCGCCACCAGCTGAGCCCCCGGCCACAGGGAGGAGAACGAGGAGGAGGAGGAGGAGGAGGAGAAGGTGGAGAGCTTTTCTCGCAGGCATGCATATGGGGAATCCTGCACTGCAGCTGTTCGGACCATCCTTGATGGAGAGAGCAGCTTGGCTTGGAAGGCAGCCCTGCAAACAGGGGGTCCTGAGGGGGGACCTTCCCTACAGAGCCAGGGCTGGGTCCAAAAGGTGCCAGACAGGAGGGCATGTCACCACCGGGGTGTCGAGGGGATGAGGACAGGCCTGAAGGCGCTGGGGAGGAAACACCTGGATGGGACACAGGGTGTTGGTTCAGCTCCCACCATGGCCCCAGGCCACGCTGACAGAGATGGCTGAAGACCCAATTTGGGGAGCACACACCCCTCTTCTTCTGACACAGAGCTGGGCTCCATAAACAGGGGACTCACACCTGCAGACTTGCCTCATTAGTAAAGTGGCTTTAGGATAGAGATTCCCCCCCTTCAACTAAATATTTCCAAAGCAACCAGCTCCATGTCCCAAAAGGAAGCACAAAGTGACCTCAGCCAGGCACAGTGCCATGGCAGCAGGTGAGCGCAGAGGCAAACTCAGCCCAAGCAAAGGTCCCAGGAGGGAGATGAGGACGGTGTTCTCATGGAAAACCTCTACTAAGGAATCATCAGGGCTGCTGTGAGCTAAACATTTGCTGGCTACAAATTGAAAAAGTCTTTGTCCCTGGACCATGAGCAGGTCCTGCGTGTTCAAGCAGGAGCAGAAGCTGCAGAAGGAGCATCTCAAACCTGGGGGCTGCAATCAAAGATTCAGCCACGAGCAGCCCCCACAGGTTTGGAATTGACTTAAAGACCCTGAGAGATCATTTCCCTCAGGTTTTCTCTAAGACTTTGGCTCCAAAGCCCTGATACTCTGAGTTTGCTGTGCCTGGTGGGATCATGGCGCTGAGGGTTCTGGCTCTGTCCCCTTTTATTCTGCAGTCACTGGTCAGGCCTTCTCTCCCTGAGTTTAACTTTTTGCTTCCTCGAATTGTTAAGCTCCCATTTACCAGCCCAAAAAGGTTTTACTCATTCTGGGCAATTTCTGGGCCAAGCAGGGAGGTGCCCTCCAAGCACACTGTGACCCAAAGAGGAAAGGACTCCAGCTCTCCATGATAAACAATTATCCTTCTCTGTGTGATTTGCAAACAATGAGGAAAAATAGTATGTGGTGCAAGATAAAACTTCAAAGCCAAATTCTAATCAAATCAAGAGTCTGAACAGGACAAAAAGCAGCAGCAGCACCAAGCTTGTTTTTGGTCCTACTACAGGTCCCACTATGACCTACAGTAGGATTTCATTGACTCGATTTCCCCAAGCAAAACAGGGGATCCCACATCTCCAAGACACCAAGTCATGGTGAGGGTTAGGAGTGTGATGAGCCCAAATAACTGAAAGACCTCGACTGACAAGCTGACATTCCCTCCAATAGATAAAATTACCTTCACCTGCAAAGGCAGATACACAGCACTGTGTGATGTCCCACGCAGAAAGATTCCCCCGCCACCTCTTGGCAATGACCATGGCAAAGTCTCCAGGTCATGGCACCTGCTCAGGGCAGGGTCTCACCTGCCCTTCCTGCCATCACAGGGAGCTCTAGCAGCCACTCATGTGGGTGAGAGCTGCATCACCCTCATGGAAAGCATCTGGGGACTCACATCACATTTAGGAACTTCCAGAACATGATCAAAGACAACTCCAAAGGTGAAGGAAACTCTTCTCTTTAGAGGCAGTTTAGGGAACCCCTCCATTAACACCCACTTGTAAGCCTACAGGAAAATTGCTCTGCCTCCCCTAAAGAACACCCTGATCCCTCCTCGCATTGAGATCGAGCCTTGGACCACACAAACACCCCAATATTCCTCTGTAATAAAAGCCACTTACCATCTTCATCATAGCCTTGGCAGGAGGAGAGACCTGGGAGCGATATTTATTATGCTCATCCAAGATGATCTTCTTTTCTTCATCACTCAGGGACCAGCTCAGCTCCAGCACGGAGAGCACCAGGAGAACGGGAGGAAGACCTGAGCTCAGCATCGTGCAGGCAGCTTCTGCTCTCAGCAGCCCACGGCTCTGGCAGTCAGATTTAAAGCACCTCCCAAAAGCAAGGAACACCCAACAGCTTGAAGATTGGGGAGGAAATATATTTATTAGAGTTTTGGAGCCATGCAGAACACACCCATCTCACATATCGGCCTTGATGGAGAGGCAGCAGTGCCAACAAACACGCAGGGTCCTCTCCCTGGGACAGACCCTGTGCCCGAATCCCAATCCCTGGATTGGCATCCTTCATCCAAACCTCTGCTGCTCCAAACCTCAGCCATCCCCTGAGCCCTCAGTTACAGGTCCTCTCTTCTACCTCCTGTTCTATTTTTCTAATCTATAACAATAATCCCACAGCAATTGACACAGCCCTGTTTCCACACGGGTCTTCCCCCGTGCCTGGAATGCAGCTGCGTTAGAAACAAAGGCAGCAAGATGCTGAGAGCAGTTTGCAGCACAGCAACTCCCCAGGCAGGGTCAGAGCCACCTCGGCCACCCCGTGTCTGTGCTGGGGACAGCATTTGGCAGCTGAGGAACAGCCCCGGGGCTCCCCAGCCTGCTGGCACCAGGGGAAGCAGAGGTTGTGCCTCTTCCCTGAGCCATCAGGAGAGGAAGAACAGGGAACAGAGCTGAAATTGCCCCAAGCAGGGGAGCTGGGAGCGTGTGGCTGCCCTCGGGGCTGGCTGCAGTAACCAAAGCATGGCTCTGCGGGGACAGGCTGTGCTCCGTTCCCGCAGACACCTGGAGGGTTCAGCAGCCGTGTCCCGCAGCCCCCGGGCTGCTCCAGCCTCCCCATCTGCGATTGTGCAATTGCCCGGCCCGGCTCCAGGAGCTCCGCCGGGATCGCAGGGATCAGCGGGTGGGCAGCGCTGCAGAGCGGAGCCAAGTTCATCACACGCTGCCGGCTTTGCCTCCCCCTCCCCTCCCCACTCCCCAGGCGATGCTTTGTCGGTTTTCCTTTGGTTTTGGACCACCCGGATCTCTGCTCTCACCACAGCAGCTCTCACTGCCCCCAGATCTCTTAGCTCTGTGTATTGCCTTGGCCTTCACCAGCTCTGGGATCAGCCGTCCCCTCAATTGTCCAACAATTCCTGCAAGTGGGGCCTGAGGCCAAGATCTCACCAGGTTTTCAACTCAGATGGTCAAACCAGAGATTCCCACATATTTCTAAGGTAAATCTGTCACTTGATGGAGACACCTCAACACATTTGCTGTTGGATCTCTGGAGACCTGGAGAAACATCTAGAAAACATCAACACAGGCTCCAGCTCCTATGGCCAGCTCACCATGGCCTGGATTACATGGAACAAGGCAGTGCTGAGGATTTTAGAGCCATGGAATGGTTTGGGTTGGGAAGAGCTTGAGAGCTCATCTCATTCCAACCCCTCTGCCATGAGCAGGGACACCTTCCACTAGACCAGTACAGGTGCTGGTCTCTCCAAAGGTGCTGTGGAGATGCAGGGCCAAGCTCCCCATTGCCCCTGGCACTACAGCACCTGGCTGAGCCCTGCAGGAGATAGTGTGGCCACAAGGATGAAGGAAAATGGGATACACAGAGCTTGTGAGGAAAAGCAAACAGCCCAGGAGGAGTCATCACCAGGGCATGTGGCTCATGGGGAAACGTGAGTAAGAGCTGATGCCTTTGGCAAGTGCAGAGCAGCTGCCAAAGGGGTGCAGGGCCATTTCTCAACTCCCAACCTGCTCCGACGGCTCCTTCTGGAGCCAATGGCTAAAGCATCAAGATTAGCAGTGCAAGGTCCAAGCCCCACCCTGGAGCTGACACTCGTGTCCAGCCGGCATTAGGTAAGTGTGTGTGGAATGCAGCTTTTCTTCTGCTCGCTCAAGGAACAGCCCGTCCCCACACCCCTGGGAGCAGCAGCCACCGCACGGGGACATCAGGAGCCACACACCAACACCTGACAGGCTCTGCTCCAGCCTGCTGGCTCCAGAGAGGCCCCACTCTGCAGCACAGAGGTGACCAAGCCTGGGCTTCTTCTGACTCACGTCTCGAGGGTCTCCAGCGGGGCTGGCCGGTGTCTACAAGGCTCCTGCACGGGTGTGGAAGTAACAGGATCTCTTTTCTCCCTACTCGCCTGGATTTATGAGCTCTGGAGGAGTTTATCGTCTTCTACACTATCCATTCATCCATTCTATTATTTAGAAATGCTGGGATGCAAGTGTTGACTGGGAGTCCCTCTGAGCTGGGCAGGGTGAGAGTGGAGTGTTGTCCAAACCAGTACAGTGAGTGCCACGGTTAGACACCCTATGGGTGACTCAGCTGATTGTGTCTGTCACCACAATGCCTCAACAGCTGCAGGAACAGCCCCATTCCCACCCAATTCCACCTCAGCAGGTCACTAGGAACACCAGACTCTCTAGGGAGGTCTCAGCCTCCTGCAGCCTTTCCAAGGATCTGTGAGACTGGAGCTCAAGATGAGGAAAATGATCAGGGCTCACTTGCAGTTCTTAGGCCAAGGTATCAAAACGCCCTTTGGTCATCCCAGTTTGGCCATTGTGGGTTTCCCACCCTGACAAAGCAGAAGGTGTGAGCACCACGCCCCTCTGGCAGCTGAAGACAGGAGCTACTCTGGAAGCCCTGCTGCAGACAGGGGCTTGGCAGATTTGGTCAAAATACATTCCTTACCACCAGAAGAAATGCCCTCCTGTTTTAGTTTTGCAGATGGTTTCAGTGGCTTTGAAGGACAACACCTTTTAGCAAAAACCAGCCTAGAAGCAAGATCAAGGAAGGTGGATCCTCCCCAGACCCTCACAGGACATTGTGGAACGAGAGCATTTTCAGCCCAAACACTCTGAGGAAATACTTGGAAGCTGGATGGAGCTGCCAGCAGCATAACCCCAAATGCAAATACCCAGCAGGATGTAGGTGCTCACCCCAACCTTTCTGACCCACTGCATTCATGGGAGATCCAGGAGCTGAAGCAAAGGAACCTCCTCTCTCTCAACCAGCAGCAAACACCTCCCTGTCCCTGCTGGGAACTGGCCCAGGGGTGGAGGGAGCCCAGCAGGTGAAACCAGGCCTCATAAACACCACAAATCCCAGCATTTAACCCAAGTCAGCACAGCTGATGGGTGATGCTTTCTCCCCCTCCCAGCACTCAGAGCCATGGGGCTGTAAGAACCTGGCAGAATCTTTGCCAGGGTCACCCCAGTGCCAGAGTCCCCTTGATGCCAACCCCCAAAATGGAGTGGGAATGCTGCAGAAGTCTGCCTTGAGTGTTTGTGTGCACTCGCCTGTGCAGCACACCAAACCCTGCCCTTGCCCAAAGGCCCAAAGTCAGGATGAAGCCAAGCCCCCCAAAGGCTGTGTGGGCAGGCTCAGCCCCTGTCCCGGGGAGCAGGGCAAGAGGAAAGCGGATTTCCTTCTGGCTTGGAGCTTTCTGCTGCAAGGATCTCTATAAATAGGTCCTTGCACAACAGCCTGTCCCCACAAGTCCAAACCTTCAGGAAAACAAAACCCAAGAGTTTTCACAAGGTTCACAGCCCCACACCGGTGATAAAACACTTCAGTCCTGGAATTCTGTTGGTGGCTGATAATCAGCAGCACCGTTGGACCTCGATGGCTCTCAGCGGGATGAGGGGATCCAGCACTGCAAAAATCAGGGTTTGCCTGAGTGCCCTGATCTTGCTGGGAGGAGAAATGCTTTTCTGCTTTTGGTAGTGTTTCTAGGGAACTTTTAGGGAATGCCACACTGTTCTTCACACAGATGCAAAAGCAGACAAGGTCCTGCAGTGCTCTCCCAGCTCTGAGCCCTCTCCCCTCACACGGCTGAGGAGCAGCCTCTGGGGCTGTATTTGTTCATCTGTCCATAAGGCAGGGAGGGATTTCTCCCCCGAAGGCAGCTGGGCAGCAGGAGCTCAGCCTGCTCCCAGAGCGTGCAGCAGCCAGGGCACCTGGGCACGAGGTCATTTAAAATCTGATCCTTAACTACATCTAAACTGGCAATGAAATCCAGCTGAGGAGTGCGGGCAGGGCTGAGCTGCCCAGTTCTCAGCGGTGCCTATCCCAGTGCCATCTGCTGGTCACCTCCTGGCTGGGCTGGGCTGGGCTGGGAGCTGAGAGCAGCCCCAGGCAGCTGGGCTCTGCAGGACAGCTGCTGCTGCTGCCGGGCAGCAGAGCCACCAGTGACCTGTAACAGCATCACCTGTATCGCTGGAGCTCAGATTATACCAACACTTGGGGGATTTGCTCTCCCTGACCACACACACAACTTACACATCAAGCAGGATCGGTATTTAAATTCAAATACAATGAAATTATGCAAAGAATGAAGCCATGCAGGGAAAAGCTGCATAAAGGAGCTGGTGGCCTCTCTCAGCTCTGAAGGTTTCTCTTCTGTGCATGAACACAGGTGCAGGCACACGGATAAAATAAATCTGTGGCATTGAAGTGACTGAGGAATGGGACATGTGCCAGAAATAGAGAGGGAGGAGGAGAGAGGGAGGCGGGAAGCACTGCAGACTGTGAGGAGGAGAGGGGTGAATGTGATGTGGAGAGGGGGGAACAGCTGGGCAGTACTGGCCAGAGCCACAGCAGAACCAGAGGAAACAGAAATCCCCAAATACCCACTCTATTTGGACAAGCTAGGAAAGAGATAAAATTTGCCCAAAACTGAAAGAAACACATTTGGAGGGAAAACAGGATTTCTGTTGGAAACTCCTCCTGGCAAGCACCAAAGCCAACCACCATGGCTCATTGTCCCCAACTCATCCTGCTGTCCCCAGGGTCAGGCTGTGGCAGGGCCTGCCAGCCACACGGGCAGATGGGTGGGAGAGCTCAACACTTCCAGCCTGGAAATGGACAAGGGAGAAGCATCCAAGGTCACCAGCATTATGGCAAATACCCTCCTGATGCTCCTCCCTCTCAGCCCCACAAATTACCAGGCCAGCCCAGATATATGAGGCCTTGAGGGGAGGCACATCAGGAGATGGGCAAAGATTCAAAAGAGGCTCTATTCCCGATGTAGTTGTCCAGCTTCTTTATTCCATGAGATCAGGGGGGAAAGCGAGCGACAGGAAGGGTCATGGACTTATCTAGGCTCTGGACAGGGAGGGTTTTATGGCTCTCCACCAACCCCTTCAGAGCAGGAAGGAAAGGACCAGGCTTATCTGATGCCAGTCACAGGGGTGCCTGGAAATGGGAAAAAGCATATCCTGAGTGCACTGTAACACCCTCCTGCCCTCAGGTCTGCTCAGGAAGGGGACAGAGTTCCCCCAGCACTGATGGCTGCCCTTGGCTCGCCGGGGCTGCAGCACAGAAGGCAGCGTGAGGAGGGAGCGTGTGAATTGTCCAAGGAGTCTCCTGAGCCTGCCAGGGCTGTGGAACAACCAGCACTGACAAAGCCTTGGTGAGAGGTGCAGGGACAGCTGAGGAAGACCCTTCAGAGCAGAAGGCCCAGCAGGATGGCACTGGGGAGGAGGAAGAGGGAAAGACCCAAGCAGGTACTGGGGGCTCCTCCTTTGGGTGGATCCACACTTGTCTGGTCATGGTTTGTCTCCAGTTCTTCTGTGTCCAGGGCAGATATGGAAGGAAAAGAAGAAAATATCAAGTTAGAGTAGAAGATCCTCTTTAGTGAAGGAGCTAAGTGGCTCTCCATTGCCTGCCTCAACCTCTGGATATGGGTCTGACATAGGCTCAAAGGAAAGAGCGATGCTGGCTGCCTCAATAGGATCTTTGTGCTCTCGCTTTGTGGTTGTGGCAGTTTTGGGTTGTGTCTTTGCCATTGTGGCACATGCTGGTGTTGTAAAAGCAGATATTGGCTTAGCCAGAGTTGTGGTGGGTTTTGGCTTAGCCAGAGCTGTGATGGGTTTTGGTGTTGTGGGTTTTGGCCTGGCTGGGGTTGTTGTTGGGAGAGTGGTGGCAGGTTTTGGTTTGGCTCTTGTGATGGGTGAGAGTGTTGGGGGTTTGGGTTTGGCTGTGTTTGGCCGTGTTTGGCAGTGTGGCTGTGGGTGGTGGCATGGCTGTCATTGTGGTTGGAAGTGAGTTTTTGGATGGTGGTTTGGCTGTGGTTATGGTGGCCTCTGATGCTGTGGGTTCTGGTTTGGCTGTGGCTGTGAGTTTTGGCAGGGCTGTTAGGGTGAATGAATGAGATGCAGAGATGAAAAGTGCCATGGGTTTGGGCTGGCTCACCTCAGCAGATCCCTGCCCTGAGCGGGACCAGCAGAAACCAACAAAGGGCTGAAACAGCAGCCAACCCTTCTCAGGTCACTCTGGACCATACCCCACTCTGGGGTTCCCAACCTGGAGACATCTCAATGTCCCTCACAACCACAACATGGTCCAGCCCTGGAACTGCAGCTCAAGGGCTTCCTGACAGCTCCAGGAGGGTTCAGAGCTCACACCCAGCCCAAGGTCGCAGTCCCAACAGCCTCTCTAGGGGCTTTGTGCTCTGCTCACTCACCACACAGGTTGTTCACACAGACTGTGTCCGTGGGGCACATTTCACACGAGGGTCCTTCCTGGTAGGGCTTTTTGCCTTTCATGTTACCCCTGGAAGCAGAAAACACCACGATAAAGAAGGCGTGAGGAAAGGGGAAACACCCATCCCAGAGAGGGGGCTGATTCAGCTGGCATATCCCAGCCAAGGCAAAACTTGGGATTCATGTAGAATACAGTTCTTGGTCTCCTGCCACGGCTTGTCAGGGCCATTTACTCACCAGCCTGACCCTTACCAGGGGTCAGCTAAATCCACGGAGCAGAGTTACCTCCCTCAGAACAGAGCAGGGGATGGATAACAGAGTGTGGGCCTGGAACTTACGGAGGATAATAGCTGCAAACAAGCAGATGTACATTTTCTGTTTCGATTCCATGGCTCTTCTTACAAAAACTGCTCCCACAGCCAATGCGAGTTGTTTCTGCCCAGACCACCTAAGGCAAAGACCAGGGTTGAAGGTGAGGGGACTGGGTGAAGGCAGTCTCTCCCTTGGCCTTAAAGGCTAATCTAGTATCTTCCTCATCTTCCAGCATGTGCCCCAGATCCCCATCCCCACGTTGCTTTGGCATTCAGAATCTTCTCCCTTGCCACTGTCTGAACCAAATTCCCAAGGTCATATATTCCAGTGCCACAGCTTTCCTACCATACAGTCTACCCAGGCAGAGCATCACCACCTCTGCTTTGGTCTTGGAACCATCCATCCATCCGTTCATCCATCCATCCATCCATCCATCCATCCATCCATCCATCCATCCATCCATCCATCCATCCATCCACTTACCACCACCATTGCTTCTCCTCTTTGCTCCCACCCAAGCTGTGAAGAAACACTCAGACCTCATCCTTCTACCCAGGACAAGCTGGCACTAAGCTGGCACTGCTGAGCAGCCAAAAAAAAGGCTGCAGAGCTTGTCTCAACAAAGGTCTTCTCTAAAAGGCCACTCATGACTGACACCATGCCCAGGTCTGCCTCTATCATTGTGAATCCCACCTGGTTCCCTGTCCTTTTGCAAAGATTTTGGGAGGAGCTGGAGCAGTGGTACAGCTCCTGTCCCAACAGCCCCTCCACCCCAGCAGCTGGTACCTGGGTGTAGTTGTCACACGTCTGCCCAGGGACACACGTGGATGTTGTCGAGTTGTAGAATTTCCTCTCCCCGTTCCATTCTTCCATGGCCAGTTCTACATCCAGGGCTGAAGCTGTTGCAAAGAGGTTTAACCTGCCTGGGCCCCCGTTCTGGGTCCAGCTGCACTTCTCTGCATGCTCTTGAGCATCAACCTCCAGGTCCGTGTCCCAGGTCTGAAAGGAGCTCAGAGTCAGCGCACAGAGAGGGACACTGGGCTCTCCAACAGGAACAAGGCACTCACCAAGGACCCCTGCAATGTCTGGCTGCAGTTTCCCCTTTCATAAAGAAAATTCAAACCCCTGCCCAACACGGTCCTCAGGAGAGGGGAGCTCCATGGTCAGTCCCAGCACAAACTGAACCTTGGTTCATGGGTCAAAGAGGAGAAGGTCAGGGCACCAGCACAACTCTCACAACCTCTCCTGGAGCTCATCTAACACCATCATGGAGCATCCTCAACTCAGCATGGAGAAACTGCATCAACTCTGTTCAGAGAATTAGGCTAAAACCCACAGAACGTTTCCCAAAATGCTCCTTTTTCACAAAGTGTTTCTTATGATATTTTCCTAACAAAAGTGTTCTGACTTTTCATTTTAAATTTCCCTTCCTTTAGAAAATGTGCCCCAAAAAAGTTAAATAACCCCTGAATAGCTGACATGCGACATGCAAATAAAAATCAGGAAAAGGGAAAAGGGTCATTAACACTTGTATTTAATTGCAAAAATTAAAAACTTTTTTATTCTTCTTACATACAAATTTCATTTATTTACATACTTTACAGGCTTTTCCCAAGTATTTACAAAGTTTGCAATATATTAAATTAGGACCATCCATAAAATTCTGCATTAAGTGCATATTCACATTCTTTTTTTTTTTAATCCATCACTAAGTTTAGTGTTCAGCATTAAAACAGTCTTTATGCATATATAGCTTTACTTCCCAGCACCTCTGAGCCTTCAGAATGTGGCTCCCCTCCCCAAGACAAGGAGATAATGCTAAAAATAAATCGCCTGCCATTTGTTTGAATCTCCAAAGCAAAGGGAAGTCCAGCATCTCCTTTGTCTAACTCTGCCCTTTACAAGGAGGAGGTTCCTGGACAGGAGGATATCGAGTTCTACCTATAAAATTTCCCAAGAGGAAGTTTGGTTTGCAGGAAGCCAAAGCTCTTTGTGCACCCACTGAAATGGCCTCACCCCAGGACGTGTTCAATTCTCCTGGGGGCCATGGGGCTGAACAAGGATCTGGGGTTGGGGTGTTGGAAATTTCCCTCCTGGAGGGAGGGAACAAGAGGGTTTCAAGGAAGAAGGATCCCCTTTTCTGAGACACTGCTGTTTATATAGCTCACATCTCTACCATGAGATGCTCTCCTGCTCCCCACCTCCTCCTGCTGCAGCCCAGGAAGCCGTGAGGGAAGGGAGGTGCTTTGATCCAGCCCAGACAAACCAGCTTCTCCCCCAGAACATTGCAAAAACAGGCCTGGTGGGAGAAACTGCAATCTGGAGACTCATGGGAAATCTGACTCAAAGCTCTCCAGGGCCTTGCAAAGAGACCCCTCGGGGGAATCAATGTGTGCAATAACAGTGGGCAGGGGAAAAAATGAAACAGAACAAAGAAAGCAAAAAAAAGAATCAATAGAAACTGCCAGGTTGGCTCCCGTGGGGGCCGCTGATTTCCTGGTACTGAAGTAAATCATAATAATCCTTTCTCCTCCTTTCAGTTACCCTGAGTTCAGGACTGACTGACAGCACCGGTCAGTGACCCCTGCTTTGGGGAGCAGCTTTAAACCACGATCCTCCTGCCCAGCTGATGGGCACAGCCCGTCCTTCCAGGCTGGCAAGTGCAGAGGTGACCCCTCCTCACCTCTGCCCACTGGGCTCGTGGGTAGTACCGATTTCTGGTGTGATTTCAGAGCAGCTTTGCAGCCTTTGGGATGTGGGGTGAGGAGGAATCCATCTCCCAGCTCACAGGCAATGAGTTCTGAAGCACACAAAGGGATTTTTAAATGTGTTAACTGGGAACTTGTGTGAGCTGGGGAGAGGGAGAATGGGAGATTGTCCAAACCAGCACAGAGAGTGCAAAAGGGGAGTTGAGGTGAGGGAGACCATGGTGGGACACCCCCTCTGTGAGTTATGTGATCATGGCTGTGAAACCTCAATAGCTGCAGGAACAGCCCTGTTCTCCCCAGTTCCACCTCAGCAGGCCACCAGGACCACCAGCCTCTCTAGGGAAGTCCTGCAGCTTTTCCAGGGACTCTGTGAAGCTGGAGCTCTGGATGTGGAAGACGACCAGGGCTTAATTGCAATAAAGGTATCAAAACCTCCCTTTGGCCATCCCAGTTCTGCCATTGTGGCCTCACCTCTGGGTTTCCCACCGTGGCTGCTTGCCTGCCCTGGGATGTGGAAGGTGTGAGCACCGCTCCTCTGGCAGCTGGAGACAGGAGCTGCTCTGGAAGCTGTGCTGCAGACTGGGGTTCTGCACTTTGGCCAAAATCGACTCTTTATCAGCAGGAGAACTGCCCTCCTGTTTTAGTTTAGCAGCTAATTCCTTACAGCTTTTGGAAGAGGAAGAGAAAATATACCGGAGAGCTTAAAAACAAATGATGTAAGCTCCGAAGGGAGCGAGGCTGGGACATATGCAATGTATCGCTGAGACAGAGCTGGAAACTTATGCAGAGCCCATAAAGTGCACTTGGAAGGCTGCTCTGCAAACAGGCCAGACTCACCAGCTCCTGTCCAACCAGCTGCAACTCTTCGAGGAAGGGAGAAGCACTACGTGAGAACATTTCTGCTAAACAGGCCCAAACCTGCCCCTTCCTCCCCCAAGTCCAAACAGCAACTGTAAATAGATCCATTTTCTCTGCTTCTTCCCAAAAGAGCCAGACAGCCACAATGGCTTAAGTGTGACTCTCAAAATCCAGGCATTTCACAGACACTTGGGAATTGTCTCCGCAGCTCTTTTACAAGTTACAGTCAAGGACACTTAGCAGTGACAGTGTCACTGAACCACCACAATCTCAGCAAGAATAGCTCCAGCAGCATCTTTGAGCAAATGCTTTACAAAAATGGGTCAGATACAAAATCAGTAAGAGGTGAAGTAACCTGGTCAGCCTTCGAATTTGATTTGAGAAGCTGCCAAGGTGTAAATAGCAACAGTCACTAATGAGGCCCTAATTCTGCCATCACTGAACTCCCAAATTTCCATTAACTAAGACCCAGGCTTTAAGAGGGAGAGGGGTGGTGTGGGTGTATGTGTGTGTCTTGGCATGTACAAAACTGAATGTAGTGTCATGAGTGTGAAATAGACTCCAAGCAGTGAGAATACTAATGGAAGTTATATTAGTCCAATTCCCTTCAATACTTGGTAACAAATTATATTAGTCCTTTTCTATCCTGACAGAGCCAGACTCTCCCCCTTTTGGTTCTGCTAGATCTGGTGTGTGTCCAGCACCAAGGGCCATGCACAGACTGACACAGGTGCTGGGCTTGTTCTCATTGTTTTGACAGGAGAAAAATAAGGGTTATGCATAGAAATGTTTGTAGTGTCAAGGCCTCAGACTAAATTCTTTGGAGCAGGAACTGTCCTCTGCCTTATTCTTGTACAGGAGCCAGACGTGGTCATCCCACTTGGCAGCTTTTGTCAGCTCCTAATCAGATTAGCACAATACTTGCTCCCATTCTCCTCAAAAACAAAGGCTGGACAGACATTTTCCCAATCTGTCATTTTACATGTACCTAAAGTATTTACAGAGAAAAAGGCTCTTGCTCCTGAGAACAGAGTTAATTCGCTGTCAACCAAATACCCCTCCCAAATCCATATTAACAAGTGTGAGAGTATGTCCTGAACTCCAGTCCTGGCCTATGAGTTCAGCCTGACACATCTGTAAATGATCTTCAGCTGTGGGATCAGACCCAAAGGATCAGACTTGGAAGGGACCGGAGCATCCGCAGTCTGCAAACTCCGAACCCGAGCCTCTCTCAGGGCACTGGAGACAGCACTGCTCCAGCAGCAGGAAACACGCAAAGGCAGCTTGGAAAGGACCCAGGAAAAACCAACGTTCATTCTGAAGACAGAGTTCCAGGTCTGGAAGGAGTCAACGCAAAAATATGCCAGGGAAGAGGGAAGTTTCAGGTGCTCCCAGAGGTACCGTGGGCTGGGAACGCAGGCAGTGCCTCCAAAAACAAGGAGCAGCTGAGAACGGCTGTGCAGCCCTTGGTGGCTGAGGTGAAAGCTGGACAGAGCTGCTCTCTCCCAGCCCCAGCTCCATCCAGAACTCCTGTACTTCCAGCACCACTAACACGTGTTGGTGTTTTTACAGGAAAGGAAGTGGAGGTGAAGAAAAGCATGATTACCATTTGACTCACTCACAACTGCTGACAGAGAGCTGCAGAAGGGTGATCACAACACAGAGAGGCCTGAAGGGATTCTTTTGGTACAAGAAGGACGCAGTGGGTGAGTGTTTCTGCCCTCAGGCTCAAGGCTCTCCCCAGCCTGGGAGCAGGAGCCAAGATCAGCTCTGCAGGGCTCACACAGCTGCGGACGTGAGGGAGCTGGGACACATCACCAATTCATTCCCTTTATAGAACTGGCCTGACTACACAGGCTCAAAGCTTCCTCCTCAGGAGGAATGTACACAGAAATGTCACACACCCCATCCACTCCCAAACCCCCCAGGAAGTTTCAGAAGTGCCATAATCCACAAAGAACATAAGGTGAATCTCATCCTGAGAAATCCATCTGCTGCTCCTGGAAAAAAAACCCTTTGCTGCAAACCCAGGGCTTACCTGAGGGGACAGGGAGGGTCATAAATAGCTTGAGCTTCTCCCAAAATACATTTGAGGAAAGGCAAAGGATTACCTCAAGGGTCAAGAAAATAGTCCTTTTTAAACACTGTAAACATGCAGGGTGGCAAAGCTGCCTGCCCCAGTTGCCCCGGCTCGCTCCTCTCAAGACGTTGCCTTGGCTTCAAAGCTGAAAGTTTTCTTGTTCTGGGAACAGCTCTGTTTTCCCACCCCAGCACCCTTAGCTGGCAGCTCCATCACAAATCACCGCTGGCTCTGTCCCTCTGGCCATGAAGCTCATTGTCCAGTGATCTGTGCTGGCATAACCTTGGGAAGAGGCAATGGAGAGGCTCTGTTAGATGAGTCCATCCTTAATGAGTGCTCCCATTTCCCACGAAGGGATGTGGTCATGCTGCAGCTCTTTGGAAAGACACTTCCCTCAGTGGATACTGGGTTTGTAATACCCATTGTGTACCCACACTGCTCAGCT